GAGTGTTTTGCATCAGGTGTCAGCAGTGTTGTGTTCTCAGTGAGCAGTAGGGACATCAGGCATGCATATCACTGGTCTAAAGTGCAAACTAAATCTTCACTTCTACATATTTTTCATCCATCATCTCAAATAATTATCTAGAGACAGTTCTTCATTAACTGAAAAAAATGTGGGCAACACCAGACTGGAAAGAGGAGATGGTCAGTGCTGCTCCCCTAAATTTATCCTTGGTCACAGAACTACTTGTTTGGTAAAATTGCCTGATCACTCATGCGGGGAACTGACCACAGCAGTCTAGAATGAGCCTTCCAAAGCCATCAAAACTTGTCTGAGCACCAGATGGGATGAAGTGGTAGAGACGGAGGGATCTACTGCACCTCGTACATTTTCCCCCTAACAGGAGACATCTGTGAAATTCCTCGAAGAAATTAGGGTGTGTTCCTCTAAAAAGGTGACACGGTCAATAGCCCAACTTACGTACCTCTATACCAATGCACACAGCAGGAGGAGTTGGAAGCCAATGTGAAGCTAGCAAGCTGCAATCTAATCAATATCGCTGAAATGTGGTAGAACAAATCACATTGACTGGAGCACTGCAATTCATGGCTATAAAATGTTCATAAGAGACCAGCAAGGAAGGAGAGGCAGGGAGGTTTCCCTCTGTGTAAGAAAAATGATTGACTGCCCAGAGTTGCCTTTGAAAACAGCACTGAACAGGTTGAGAGTTTATGGGTAAAAATTAGGGGCCAAATAATGAAGGAAACCTTGTGGTATTTACCACAGGCCACCCAGTCAAGGGAAGTCTGTTGACAAAGCATTCTTACTTCATACTTGCAGGCTCTGATCCTGCCGGGAGACTTCAATCACCCTGACATCTGCTGGAAAAGCAACACAGCAAGCTGTAAGCAACCCAGAAGACTCCTGGAGTACACCAAGAATAAAAGACAGCCCAAGCATTACTAGACCTGTTGCTTATCAACATGGAAGTTCTAAATAGAGATGTCAAGATTGGCAGCAGCCTGAGCTGCAGTGATCATGCCCTGGTGGAATTCACAATCTTGAGGTATATGGACCAGGTGAAGAGTAGAGTCAGAACACTGAATTTTGTGAGAGCAAACTCTCAGTTAAGGAAATAGTGGATGGGACCCCCTAGGCAACTATCCTCAGGGATAAAGTATCTGAACAGAGCTGGCCAGTCTTTAAGGACATATAGAGCGCAAGAGCTCTCAATGCTCATGTGTAAGAAATCAGAAAAGGAAGGCAGGAGACCAGCATGGCTGAGTAAGGACCTCCTGGCCAAACTAAAGTGTAAGAAGGAAATGTACAGGCAGTGGAAACAGGGACGTGTATCCTGGGAAGAATATAAGGATGCTGCCTAGATATGTAGGGATGAGATCAGGAAAGCTAAATCCCTCAGGCCCCTGAACTTCAGGTCAGGGACTGGGGGAATGAAGTCCCTCCCATTGAAAGTGATAATCAGGTTCAAGACCACCTAAGGAACCTGAATATACTAAGTCCATTGGACCTGACAAGATGCATCGGAGGGTCCTGAGGGAGTTGGCTGATGTAGTTGTGAAGCCACTCTCCATCATATTTGAAAAGTCATGGCAATCAGGTGAAGTTGCCAGTTACTGCAGAAAGAGAAACATCACACCCATTTTTAGAAAGGGTACAAAAGAGGACCCTAGGAACTACCAACCAGTCAGCCTCATCTCTGTAGCAAGTAAGATCATGGAACAGATCCTCCTGGAAGATATGTCAAAGTATAGGAAAGACAGTGAGGTGATTAAAGATAGCCAACATGGCTTCACCAATGGCAAATCATGCCTAACTAACCTAGTGACCTACGATAGAGTGGCTGCATCAGTGGACAAAGGAAGAGCTATGGATGTCATCTACCTGGATTTATGTAAGACCTTTGGTATGGTCCCCCGCAATATTCTTGCCCCTAAATTGGCAATATATGGGTTTGATGGATGGACTGTTAGATGCATACAGAATTGTCTGGATAGTCATGTCCAGTGAGTTACAGTCAATGTCTCAATGTCTGAGTGAAAATCAGTTATGAGTGATGTCTCAAGGATCCTTACTGGGACGAATACTATTCATATCTTCATCAGTGACATGGACAGTGGGATCGAGTGCAAGTTTGCAGATAACACCAAGCTGAGTGGCATGGTTGATTCACTAGGGGGAAGGGATGCCTTCCAGAGGGACCTTAACAGGCTTGAGAACTGGGCCCACATGAACCTCATGAAGTCCAACAAGGCTGAGTGTAAACCCCTACGCCTGGATCAGGACAATCCCCAGTATCAATACACACTGGGGTATGAAGGGATTGAGAGCAGACCTGCAGAGAAGAACTTGGGGATACAGGTGGATGAAAAATTGGATATGAGCTGGCAATGCACATTTGCAGCCTAGAAAGCCAACTGTATCCTGGGCTGCATCAAGAGAAGTGTGGTAAGCAGGTCAAGGGAGGTGATCCTCCCCCTCTGCTCTACTCTCATGAGACCCAACCCGCAGTGCTGTGTCCAGCGCTGGGGCACCCAGCGTAAGAAGGACATGGACCTGCTCAAGTGGGTGCAGAGGACCACAAAAATGATCAGAGAGATGGAACACTTTTCCTATGAAGAAAGGCTGAGAGAAATGTGTTTGCTCAGCCTGGAGAAGAAAAGACTCTAGGGACACCTAATTGTGGTCTTTCAATATATGAAGGAGGCTTATAAGAAAGACTGAGAGAGACTTTTTACCAAGGCCTATAGTAACAGCATAAGGTACAATGGTTTTAGAATGAAAGAGTGGTTTTAAGATTGACCATAAGGAAGACATTTTTTACAGTGAGGGTGGTGAACCAGTGGAACAGATTGCCCAGGGAAGTTCTAGATACCTCATCATTGCAAGTGCTTAATGTCAAGTTGTATGGAGCTTTGAAATGGTCTCGTGAAAGATGTCTCTGCCCACGGACTAAATGATCTTTAAGACCTTTTCCAACCCAAACCATTCTGTGATTCTATGATGCCTCAACTGAACCATTTATTCTGTGTCTCAGCATGAAAAAGAGACATAACAGGACACAGCACTGAGAAAACAGTGACTGCTAGCCAATGCAACCTAGCACAGAAAAAAATGTGTGGCAGCTGTGCAACACTTTTGCACAGGAATGAGAAAGGAAGCATTGGGAGCCAGGTGCTCTTGCTTGCTTTTCACACTTGAGTCCAGATAAATCCACTAATGCCCTCAGGATATTAGCTTCACTGAGCATAAGCTCTGAATATGCTGCTTTTGGAGCAGCTGTCAGACCTGTACAAATCCAATGCCCATGGCATCTGGAGTGACACTAGTTTCAGACTGGATGACCACATTGCTGCAATAATATTATTGGACTGGGAATGCTCAATACTGTTTTGGTTGTCTTTGCTTTAAAGCATGAATCTAAAAATATGTTTGTCCTTTGTAATCTTGAAAAAAGAGACCCAAAACCAGAACACCTTAGTAAACGTACGTAGTTGTCAGTAATTGCAGTCCATTGGTGTTTGGATAATGTCATGTATTGTGTTTTGAGTGATGTTTGAATGTTATACTGATACTTGAGCTGTTCTTCAGAAGTTGCCACATCCACATGCACAGCTTAATGCCTGTGACTAAATCATAAAAGGAAAATACAACCATACAAAAGTCAACAGTAAGTTACAAGAGTGCTTTTATTAAGACACCAAAACTCCACTAAACAGACTCAGATAGTCACAACAGCAGTTTCTGCTGAGCATGCAAGGTATCAAACACAAGCTACTGGTTTGCATTTCACCCTGAAGACTAGTTCTCAGCTTTTCTAAATGGTATAGCTCCACTGAAATCAATAGGCAAATCTCTAGTCCTGTCACTTTCAAGCAGTTCAGGACTGTAAGTACTAAAATCTAGAAAAATATTTATAGTAAAATAGCTTATCCTTTCACTGTGTGCAGAAGGCAAACACATTATGTATTTGAGAGCAAACTGAGCAAAAGTTAAGAGACTCCTACGTAATAAAAACTAATGGTTATGTTCATCAGACTCTAAGACTGCAAAGATAATTTGCAGTTTCACTAATGCATTGTAACCAAATGGATCTTTTTTTATATCAGGATTTGGTACCTGATATTTCAGCAAGGAAAAGACAGGTCAAAGATTTTTACTCCTTATAGATTCACTTGAACAAAAAGCAGAATGCAGATGATTATTCTGAATTTTATTGATGTATTTAAAAGGTGTATATATATAATCTTTAAGATCAATCAGTATGATCTTTTGCAAAATGTAGAAATCCTATACCCAATAGTCTTATTACCTAATAGAAATTGGACTAGTGGGATAGAAAAGCAGCTTTCCAATGCTATTCTGTACCAAATATCAGTACCTAAATGGTATGGCTACTAAGAGTATTTCTGAGTTCAAGTTAATGACTAGTTTCCACTAAGAGTTATTTATAATGGTGTCCATTGAGTTTAAAGAGGATTTAGCTTGTTCACTGCAAATTACTGAATTACATGTGACCCAGACACAGCAGGCTCTATCACTGTGTAGGAGCACATGCAGCAATCAGAACCAAGCGGTGGTGGGGATAAGTTACCACACTGCTTTACTCTCCATCTTCTAACATGCTCACTGAATTGGAGGCTTGGGGCAGCAGCGTGAAGAAGACCACCCTGAGAAAGAGTCCTGCAGGAGATGCTGACTGCGGAAAATGGTTTTGTTCCACTTTATCCAGTTGAACAGACTGTTGTTTCCAATGGAGCACACAAGCTAAACCTTTGCTGCTGCACTACCAGTAGGGTCTTGCAGTCAAGCAAAATTCAGCTCGAATTTGTAACTATACTGTTGTAATTGGAGTGCCATCACTTAGGTGGGCAGCACATTCTGTGGCTTGATTGCACAATCATTGTGGTCTAATTAAACAAAATATGTAGGTACCAATTGATTTATCTAGAAAAACATGGGCTGCCAGTAGCAAAAATCGTTTCTTTTTTCTTTTTTTTTCACTGAGTCCTTGTCAATTAAAGAATTTACAATCAAACCTCAAAACTCATGCTGAAGAACACTCTGAGTAGGTTAAGCCCCAGATTCATGGTGCCTTTTCTTTATTCGGTGGCAAATCCAATACTTGTTCTCCAACTTCTGTATACTTAAGGCGTTGCACAATTAGGTCTTGAACGTTGCTGCAGCTCAAAGTTTCAACCTCACCTTAAGTAAATAGTGAATTACAAACTGAAAAGGAAACCTCTCTAAGGGTTTGCTGATCTATTTCCTGGAATATTTATAGAAACGTGCAGCTTGTCAATAATGGCACAGGTGATGCTAAGATGGCCACATATCAACATGTCACAGTGAGAGAGCCAAATCTTGGAACTGGAATAGAGAACTATGAAGTCTTCCTTCTTTCCCTTCTATTTATGGAAAAAAATGCCAAAATTTACTTCAACCTGGAGCTGCAGTTGCAAATAGTTCTCAGGACACCAGGAAGAGTGAGATTGCTAAAAAAAAAAAAAATAAGAGGGGGGATAGAAGCCTTTTATATGCGGCATTAATTCGGACAAGTCAGTATTGCAACATGACCACCACTGTGAAGAGTAACGAAGCCAAATGCTGAGTGAAGACAAGCTTCAGTTCTCCATCTGATGAGATATGATCCAACTAGAAAAAATAAAAAGCAAACTAATTAGATTGAGAAAGGTAATTAACTACCTTCCAAAGAAAGTAAATACACAGGAAAGAAGAGCTGAGTAGTTCCAGCATCTAAAAGGAGCCATTAGCCAAGATTCCAACATGATGTCTAAGTGTTACGAGCCTGACAATATCCTTTATGCTACAAACTTACTGCACAACTCCAGAATTCTCATTACTATCAAGTATTGCAGTCACCCATGACTACTCATGAGAGCAGAATGATGAATGAAGACAAGACATTCTTTGCTCTGTGGAGAGACTAGGACTCTTCATATATAGGTTTTAATTTAATGGACCTAGATATGCCCTTTATGATGGATTATGGCTCCCTAGTGGGACCTGTACCACTGATGGAACTGTACAGAAGCCCCAGGTACCTTCCCTTTGAGCTCCCAACAGGCAGCCCTGCACAGCCTGTGGGAAGCAATCACCCTCACCTACAGTGATCTCCTAGGAGCCTCCCATAGATGACTACAGAGGGTGGTCTCCGTAACATAAGATTAAGGGAAATAGAGCTAATAATGACTACTCAAGACTTTACAAGCAGATAAATGGGATACAGTCTTCCCTATCCTTTCTCCGTGATATGTATTAAGCGTTATTGTGCTTAGTGAAGCAAACTAACTTATCCACAAATACCATCATGATAAATCTAGTGAATTTACTGTGGTCATGGCAGCTGCATTGTCATGTATGAGGCCTCCATCAGGAATGAGTTACTGAATAACTCTGGTAATAATGTCAGACAAGCCGGCTGCCAGGAACAGAATTTGATCTGCAGTTAAACATCCTTGAGTTGCGAAGCAATGCTAGGTGTTCTTTTTCAGCAACCAGCTTTCGAGCCTATCTCTCCTCCTCTTAAAGGCACAAACATACACATGGCAGTGAGCAGCTAGAACACACTTATTTTACAGAAAAAGTGCTGAATCTTATGGTATTCTGGAAAAGTGTAAAATTCCCAGGCTGCAGAGGCAGAATGTGTGGTAGTAGTTAACACACCTCAGGGCTGTCTTTTCAGACTCTCTCCAGGCACTTGTAAGCACTGTTTATGCACTATCAATATTTCAAGCTCTTTATGTCTAACATTGTCCTATTTTCTTGAAAAACACCCCCTTCAGGGGAAAAAAAAAAAAAAACAACCACAAGCTTTTGCAGAAAGGGATAACTTCTGAAGCAAATTGTCTTCTGAAGCAGATTTATAGAGAGTGGTAAAGCTTCTCTCCCTTATTATTAGTAATCCATGATCCGGAACTAAAAGTGATATGCTTTTTGTGGAAATGGTTATTGGTGTTCTAAAATGGTGTGTCATTTACTCTGACTGAGACAGAAGCCTTGAAGGCAGATGGAGAAGGCTGTCTTCCTCCTCTGTAGTGTGCAGCATTTGAAAACAGGCAAGAACAGTAAGAATTTTATTCTTACTTCTAGAACCTTATCCTGCAGCAAATAGAACAGGAGGATTAAATACCCTTAAACAGAGGATGCTCTTCTGCAAGTATCTAACCATTTTAGGAAGAGATAAACAACTAAAAAATGTGACTGATCATAATTCAGTACTTACATCTGGTAACCTGGAAATTGCTAGTCATAGAACACTTGGTAGCTGAAGTTGTCAGACTTGATTCTGAAGTTGTATCTTCCCGTCTTTCGCTGGTACTGGAAAATGAGAAGGCTCAAAACTCCCAGCACAAAACCAAACACGGCAAAGGCAATGAGGATGATGTATCCAATTCCCATCCCAGCCTCCTTCTCTCTCTTCAAATCAGATGCTAAAACAAACAAGAGGTGAAAGAAAAAAGCTTTGAAGTTCCTGAAACTTTTCCTGGGATGGGAAACAAACCTTGCCTACAAATTAGCCAACACACATGTTGAAGCACAGAGCTGTGATATGGAAGTGAATCAGCCTTCTGGGGAGGGTGATTCTCATGGAAAGGTCCATGAGCCACAGTCCAAGTTCTCTTTTTACGTACAAGTATCGAGTGCCTGCAGACATGAGTATAATGTGTCTTTGGAATTTTCTATTAAAATAAGAATTAAAGGATCAGCATTGGTGACTTTTTAAAATGCTGCCTTACTTTCAGAATAACCCTAAAGGCAAAGCATTCTCTCATCTTAATCCTGACCCCATTCATCTACGATTATTAAACCCCACTTTATTTTCTTTTAGCTCATATGTAACATTTCTTTAAACACAAAGTATTGAGGAAAGGATTCTCCATGTGTGCTGTGTCTCTAAGCTCCCATTCTAGTCAGCAGCAATCTGGCCAGGGCAGTCAGTGGAGGCAGGTAAGTGAGTCACACTGAAGTGGTCACTGTGGGCTTAACTCTGTAGCCTGAACATAAGCATCTAGTGCCACCTGAGAAGCCCAAGGGTGTCTAGAATGTCTGCACAGGTCTGGCAGACATGGCATGGGACCTGCAGAAGACCTATAGTCTTTTGGAATAGTACCCAGACACCAAGGGGAAGGAAAGGATGGGGCACCATGGGTCATGAGCACTAAATGCCTATGTGTGGGCAAGAGTCAAGTCCCTTGTTGCCAGCTGTCTCCCTAGGCTCGATTGACCATCAGCAGAACATGTTCATCTGGTTCACACATAGACACTTCCATGTATTTGTCCAAATCTGCAAGCAGAATCCCCTGTCCCTTTAATATTGTGCCTCTATTAATGTTTGTACATGTATTCTTACATACTTCTAATTAAATCTTGTAAATGCTTGATGCACCTACAAGAACATCTATTTGCACACATTTTCAGGACAGTGTTTATTCATCCAAGCACTTGTACAGTACCTGAGCTGTACAGAAAGACAAATTCCAATGCATCCATGCCTGTAATTAGAGACAAGATCTTTGGCCAAAGGGCACAGTTGGCAGCCACAGAGGTATGCAGTAGCAGTGTCCAGGCTATGTAACAACCAGGGCATCACTCCAACACACACCAAAGCAGTGTTGCATAATCTAGCTAGCTTGTTTCTGAATTTCAGTATGAAACAAAAGTATAAAAAAGAAGATACACAGTGGAAATGGCAGCCTGTAGCCAGACACAGACAGGACAGGTTTTCCTGAGGATAAATATCAGTGTTCCTTGCCATAGCATGTGGCCAGGCAGTACAGGCAAAGAGCAGTTAAATCTTTTTTCATGCTTCACTGCAGCAGCTTACCTGACATAGTAATTCATGTTGTCTCCTTCAACACACAGAGATGCATTAACTGTCTAGGTCTAGCCTCACACTTAAAATGCGAGTATCAAAACTGGAAATAGGAGAAGGCATCTAGTAATGCCACCTTTGCCTAAGAATCGAAGTAATACAGTCCAAATACAGCTCCCCTCACCAGAGTTCTTTTTGTGTAATGACCATTTTTCAATATTAGAAATGTACTGGGGTCTCCAGTGAAAATGGGAGTGAGATCTATTTGATGTAAGTAAGTGCTGTACAAAGCAAGTTGTATTAATTGCTAAGTTTTAAAAAAATAACTAATTCAGAAATCAACACAGAAGGCCTATTCTAACAGACTAATACTTCATATAATGGAAGAAAAATACAACATGCGAAGTCAGAGCCAGTTTCTAGGTCCAGAAGAACATTGTGATCATCACAGCAGAGAAAAAGATACCCTGAGCCTGGAAATAGTCCAGCATTAACTTGTCTCCACAGTCAGAAGAGTGTTAAGTAACTGGCAAAACAGGCAACCAGCAGGAGGAAAGGAGGTGACTTCTGTCTATTCACAGTAGTCATGTGTTAAAACTCTGATATTGGTATATACAAATATTCTCAATGAGTGGTTTATGCTAATAAGGTATGAATGCAAGCATATGGCTGGAGGAGGCCAAATGATCAAAAATGCTAGAGGCCACACGTGCCCTGGAAAACATCACTGGGGTAAACGCAGAAGAGGCAGAGGCATAACAAATTAGACCTTGCTTGTACACAGTGCTGGTGTTCACTCTCTATTAACCTGTACTCTACCTTTCCACCATATTAACCAAGATGCTGTGCATCAGCTGTGCTCTGCCACTTTTCCTCACGGTAGTAATGCAGTCAATACCAGGGAGTCTAAGGAAACACAATACCATCTCTTACCATCTCTGATTTTGGACTTCAGAGCTCAGTATAATTGGAGTCTGATGAGAGGGTAAACACTTGACAACCTGATTGCAATCTAAAAGATCCAAGCTGCTTTCACACTTCACTATTGTTATAATGGTTTGATTTTGTGGCTGTTGTACTCTTTGTGCAAAAAGCTACACAAAGCACTTTATCCTCTTCCTTTCTACATTCCCGTGACAGTATGAGTCACTTCACCGAGGAGGGCACATGATTTTCCAGACTGTCACACAGCTTCAGTAAGAACTCCTGCTCCTCAAAGATATGTAGAAGGGCAGAAAAACCTTGCATCACGTTCATTTGCCAGTGAAAAAGAATCTTGAAATGATAGTTAGTCTTTTTGTAAGCACCTATTGTAACTCACCAGCTGATTTACAGAGGGGTCCCCAGGACGTTCTGTGCATTGCGATGGTTTCACCACTCTTCAGGGATCGAACTGCATGGCATCTCTGCAACAATCAATTCAAGCTCCAACAAGTAATATGGCTTACTAATTAAAAATACAAGTATTTGTACTGAGTATGTGAAAGTCCAGTGCTATTCTCACTCACTGGGGTTTTTGTTTCTTAATGTTATGCTTTGTTAAACTGAAATGAGCACCAAATGGAGGTTCAAAAGAAATGGCATTAGGGAAACATCAGTATAAAATCTGTAATTAGTCACACTGGAAAACACTCCTGTGAACAGACATTTACCACATGCGATCTCTTTCTTTTTATTAATTTTCAGTTTGTTTTAGAGAAACCTTATGGGAGAATAAACTTCTCACTATTTCTATATGCCAGGGTTTTGCAAACATTTTTGTTTGGATGTTTCTGCTGCCCATGGCAAGCACAGCAGCTACTACAACCAGCACCAGCAAAAGCAGCAGCAACTTTGAGCCCCTGCCAAGCTGTGTGTCATTTTGAAGCAACGCACAACTCTTCAGTGACATGTGAACTACTAATCTGGGAACCTCTAGTCTGAAAGCCCTGCCCTGTGAAATGCTGCTTTAGCTTTGTGTGACCAGCACTTGCAGAATACACAGCACACTAATCTTCTGCACGCTTCCTCTGTAGCACTGTTCAGTTTTGTTTACTACCTTTTTCTGTTAAGTTGCAACCTAAAGGTCTCTAATGCGAACCATAGCCTGCTGAGGTTATTCAAAAGATACAGTGGCTCTCCTGGAAGTGCACATAAAAACAGAGAAACTGCAGTACCATACTATAATCAGCAAAAGAAAGCAGAGAAGTGCAAGGGTGTCTTACCAGCTTGTCTACATAAGACAGTGTTATCAGCCTGGTTACACTGAAAAAACCTCTACAATCCACTGTCAGCAACAGTGTCTTTAGCTGGGTTATCCCCCAGAAAAATACCTACTTTGGCCTACCCTCGAATAGCTTTTCAAGCTAGGCAGATCCATTGGAGGATATAGCTACACAGAGGCTCCCTGATGTCAATGATATTTCAGTTCCACGTGGCCATATAATAGCCACATTCCACCAAACATATGCCTGGTGGTGGCAGCACATCGCTTCTCTTCCCATTCAAAGTCATGTTTCTTACTCATTTCTTACTACATTGTTCCCCAGTCTGTCTTATTTTTTTTCTACTCTAAACTTTAGAGCACCTTACTCTCTCCACCAAGAAAACGAGGAATAAAAAGACTGGGTAAGAAAAAATAATACAAGATGTAAGTCTCAATTTTGTGGGCAAAGAGCTGAAGTAAACCTGCCCTGGAGCAAGTCAGTATTCTCCAGAGTAGCAGACAGATCAGAGGATCAGATCCCTGACCCTGGGCACTTTACCAACCATCTCACATTATTTCCAAACATACTCTGTTCTTGCTCCAGTTTTCCTTGATCTTTACATTTCCTGCAGCTCCCTGTCCTTTCTTTGTAAAAGCCATTGTCATCCTGTGTAAATGTGCCTAGTGTTTGTTTTGTTTTCTCCACCTAACATTTTAATTTCAGTCTAAGATACTGAACTCACTACATATTAAATTTTGGATAGGAGAAAGAGCAACATATCTTATATATATATGCATGAATAATTAGAATATATGAAAGAAGAAGGCCTTGCTGATTAACTCTGTTGTGCCTTGTTTACTGCAGATGTCAATCATCTCAATCAAACCTCACCTTGGGCTAGCAGAATTACCCCACCACAGAGCCCTGTAACTCAGATCAAAGCCAGTCCTTTAGTTAACTGTCTTCCTAAACTTTAATCCATACAGCTAAAGCCTGTTCTAACAGCAAACCTAGCAGCTCCTAGCAAAGCAACTCTCTGATACCTTACAGGAGCCATAAGGGTCCATGCAGTCCCTGTCCTGCCCATCCTTCTTATTCCCCTGCCTTGCACCCACCACCATGTCCCTCCTCAGCTGTGCATAGTGAACTTGGGGATGGCACTACCTCCTCCAAAGGTAAAGCACTGACTTTTAACCCACAAATTCAGCTGTGAACACTGGAGCCATCTTTCCATCTGTCAGACGTGTTTTCTGTCCCTACTTTTTTTTTTTTTTTTTTTTTTTTTTTTTTTTTTTTTTTTAATCTGGAGGAAACTTATGCTTTGAGAAAGGAAACCAGTATCTTCTGCTAACCATTTTTAATCTTTTAGGAAGAGATCGTTTGCTTTACAATGGTCTTAAACAGAGTTATTTAGAGCTAGAGGAAAGTATTAAACAATGGAGGAACACCAAACTGCTAATGAAAACATCCTTGATAGAAAAAGAGCCAGGAAGGTTGGCAGAAGGAGAGGAGAATTCCTGTGTGTCTGCTATAAAGAAGAAAAAAAGTAATCAGCAAAACCTATTTTTTCTTATTTCTATGGTAGCAACACATTTTTAGATGAGGCAGTGTGTATCAGTCACTTAGAAATAAAAAGAAACAAAGCAATGCTTTCGAGCACAGAGAATTAGAAACTGAAGCTGTTATCAGAATATTGCTTTGTTTATTGCTTTATAAAGCAATAGGACTTTTAAAAAGCCATAATAAATGCTATTAGAGTCACAGCCCTAGAAACTTAATGCCACTGAGCTTCCTTTCCTGGCACCTAAACTTTCACCTGAAGAAGCAAATCTCTAGGGGGGAAAAAAAAGGACAGAAAAACATCCAAAATCAATTTACTCAGACTTTCCTGCTGACACTGTCAATATGGGTGCTTGCTTTTTTGTGACATGTCCATCTGACTTGACAGATTTCTGAACAGTCTATCTCATTGTGACTTCTGTTCACTGCCTTCCAGCCACTCCTATGCAGAGGTGAAAGGTTCAGTTCTCAGGTTCCCCAACTTTGATTTCCCCATTTCTATACAAGTTCCATGCTTTTAAATACAAAGATGAGGAACAGGAAGAAAGGCTGACACTTCCATCTGGTTGTAGTTCTTCCTCACTCCTCTCTGTTCTCGGCAGACAATGAAGAAAAACTTCAAGAGCTATTTTAAACCTTGTTTGGAAACATTACTCCTTCAATTCCATAGCACATGGCACATCAATGAAAAATAGCACATTGGAGCAAAATACTTACCGTCCTGCAGGTGCTTCCTGGTTTCTCCATACAAATACGAATTTTGCAGTGTAAGTAGACCACAGAATTGTTGACAAAGGAAAAAATTTTCATCTTAAACTGTGCTTTGCTTGAATTCCCATTCTCTAGCACTGTGGTATATGTATTTGGGATGGGACAGCTGAAAAGGAAGAGAAAAACCAGACATAGCAACTCAGTCTATAGAAGGCATGTTGTGGTTATATCACATAACTGAGGTTGGAAGGCTCCTTTAGAAAGCCACAGCCAGACCCTCCTTGAAGCAACTCTCCAGCAGTACAGGGATGATAAGGGGCTATTTGCTACTCTACTCTGACAGTAACTGAATAGGAGATTCAAGAAGTGGTTGGAAAGTTGGAAAAGAAGGGAGTGACAGAAAAAAGGATTTAAACTTGGCTTCACCAAAAACAAATTGAAAGAACATCATATTAAAAGGGGTATCTTCTGTTACTGAACAAAAGTATTACCCTGTATTTTAAGGTGCTGGGTGAGCCCACGGAATATGACATTGGGGTGAGATTAGGGCTTGAGGCAGCAACAAACCTCCTCTTTTACCAGAGGCTGCATTAATACTGTGTGTGAGTCACAACACATAGGCATCAACTAAACTATGTCTTCACTGATGAGAGGCACGTAAGCTCTTGGTAAAGCTGCGCCACGGAGAAATATATAAAGCACACCCTTTTCAAATGTTCTTTCACTACTGACTGCCGAAACCACCTATTTCTTCAGGTCAAAAGTACAGTTCCTTTACAAAACTGTGGGGAAGACAACCAAACTCAAACAACTACCACATCACCCTTTCAAAACATTTTCTTTTCATACCCACCTCTCTTGTTCAAAGGTGTGACCAGTGCACATGGTAAGGGACTGTTTATATGAATGATAAGAACACACATAAAAGGCATTTAAAATACAACACAGTAGTCAGTGCCACTGGAAGATCTAAGGTATGGCACATGCTATTTGCAAGTGGCATTGCTGTACCTGTTGCTGATAAAAACAAATGAGAGGGGATCCACTGAATTATTAGTTGGAGTTGCCCAGCAGTCAGTGAGGACCACCTTGAGCTTGCTGTCTGCTCTCTGGATCCCCACTTCAATCAGCACATTGTCACTGGCAGAGACGCTGAAATTTTTTGGCAATGGGGAGTTTCCAATAAACAGCTGCATTTCTGTTCTGAAGTGTCCAGATTCATGCAAATCCTCAAAGATGGTGTAGAGTCTGAAACATCAATTAAAAGACCACAAATCTGACTGTATGTTTCTATAAATCATAAAGCAGTGCCTGTTTCTCCACCTTTTGCACATTTAAGTAGTGAAGAGTTATCCGCACTCCAGGAAGTTAGGACGCTGTTCAAGAGGAAAGAGTGAAAATGCATCAAGTTTTTAGTTGGGTACATAGAGATCATGGAAACACAAGTGGGAAAATCCAAAGGGTGGAATGTCTTGACAATAGAAGAAGAACAGAAAGATTTGAGTGGAGCAGAAAGGGAACAAGATTATGAGCTGTCTTAAAGTTCAAAATAAGGAAAGTAAAAGCTTAGTGCAGAAGAGAAGAGCCAAAAAAATTGAGACAGGACAAATCTGAAGAGTAAGTGAGGGACATAAGAAAATTATAGAGCTCAGAGAGAGGGGGCCTGACAAAGACTTTACAGGGGGATAGAGAGGAATATACAATGTCTGAACAGGTTTAGGAAACAGAAAGTGGATTTGGTGATGATAGCTTAAGCATGGGGCGAGGCAAAAGATAGGAGGTGCATTTGTATGAAGGGAGAACATTCACCATCAGAGCAAAGTCTGTGCTTCTGCCTTTTTGGTGCGTGTGGGCTTGATTTTTCTGTGAACAGTGGATTTGATTCCATCTTACTTGAAGATGGGACCTTCTGTAAAAAAAAGTATTTGCATTACAAATCTTCTCTTTTTCTAAGTTGATCAAATAAGGATTTGTGGGGATTAAAAATTGCCATCCTCAGCACCCACATAGCAGTCTACATGCCTACCTCAGTTGAAAAGAGACATGATTTTTATGTTCCAAAAGCAGGAAAGTACTGTTATTGCTGCACATGATTTCCCAGGAAGGCAAAGAGATGTCAGGAATTCTGACTCCCAAACCTGCACCAGTAGCTCCCATTTATTTTCATCTGTGGTTTAGCCAGGCAGTGGCCAGACTTGTTGGGTGTTGGATCTATTGACACATTAGATGGAGGAGGAGAGAAGCACATAGCAGGGATCACCTGAGCAGAAGACTTGTAGGATCGCAGAGTCCTTAGCATAGCGAGTACTGTCACTGGAAACAGCTAAGGTCCCTGGGGATTTTTCCAATGCAGCAGCGCGCAACCACACAACAGCATTTCAAAGCAGAGAGGGTTGTTACTTACCCTTCTGCAATGTAGCCAGAGGAAGTCAAGAGATCATTTTGAAACACACAGTGAATGGGACTGGCAACTTTTAAGTGGTGGATTACTCCCTGAGCAGAAACATCATTCCGAAGGATGGTTTTCACTACAGTATTAGTCATGTTCTGTAACACAGAAAGAAGAAAGAACGACTTGTGAACATCAGTGTTTCTAGGGATATAGCAGAGCTGCAGGCTTACCAGCTTCAAGTGCTTAGGTATTCTCCATTCTCCTGGCTGCAAAAATCACACAGATTAAACCTCTAGTATCTTAGTTGCTGTACATTGAGACAACGAAAATCCACCAGTCTTCCCCCTCTTCCTTAGTCTGCAATGATCATTGTTCCACAACAGAATTTCTGTACTTTGGCATGACCTGAGCACAGCCTTTGGTCTGGGATCCAGAGAGACAGCCATTACTTTTTGCCCCCACTACTGGTAGCAGTTGGAGTATTCGTCTAAATATGATTATGAAATTGCTCTTAAGAAAAGAGAAGCTTCTGACAGCTGCATAGGGAACTCGGAGAGGCATGGAAAGTGATTGTCATTTTGGAGAGGCCCTTATCTTTTGTTGTCTGACATCAAAGGTTCCCCTTCTTTTCTGCCTGCCCACCCTCCCAAACAGAGGCAACTTCCCATCACAGGAAGGGGGTTTCTTTCTCCAAAGAAATTTCATAGTCAAACATTTCAACAACTAAGAGACTGTACTCCTAGCTAAGGATCTGCCATCAGCACTTCCCTCACACCCCAGCCTCCTACTTCCCAGCACAAGAAAAAAAAATGCTCCAGGGCTTCTTCACATTCACCAACTCAGGGGACTTACAGTCTCAACTTCAGTGCCACAGTCGCTCCAGCCTGCCTGCAGCTCCACGTGAGTGCCATTGCTGATGCTCACATTGCAGCGAGGCTCCCCCAGGTACAGGGAGGTTTCCGGGATAGACTCCTGCTGTAAAAAACTTTTCTGGATGGAAAGGACAATCTTCTCGATTTCACAAAACACTCTCACTGCATCTTTAATGGAAACCTCCTGCACAGGTTTAATGAGGGGTACAGAAGATGCTTGAGGAGAAACGTCGGGAATTGACACAGGATCTATGGTGAGAGGAGGCAGCACCATGCTGGAGAATGTGGTGTCCTCCAAAGCTTTGTGCGCAGTAGTAAATAAGTCCAGTGAAGCAGGGGAAGAAACATGAGCTGAAGTTTGCAAAGATGTTGCAGGTAGAACTGTGTTGTGTACGGATTTCTTCTCCATCACTGTTGCCTCCTGGCTGATAGGTAATGCTGAAGAGCGCCAAAAATAAAGGTACTGTTGTAATTTACAGGTTCAGATTGACTTCATAAGGTAAAAGCAAACTCCTAGGAGGAAACTAACAGTTACTGGCAGGAAACTAGCTTCTTTTGGTTTTTTAACCTGCTCTCCTTACTGCCAAAGCTATGGCCTTTTTTAAGAAAGATACATAAAATGCCTGTGAGTAAAGCTGAAGTGCTTTATGTCCTCAGAGCTGCAATAATTAGTGTGCTTGAGTAAAATGTATACACAGATTTTGGAAGATTGGTGCTTGCAAGAAATCCCCAACTGTAAGCAGTTCAGCAAGTATTCATATGTTTTTGCCTAGTACTATAGGAGACTGCACACTTCCAGATGTGAGGTATAAACAGGAGAGGAGTCTGTTAAAAAACTTGGCCTCATCTGTGACCTGTTGGAACCCAAAAGATAAGACTCTGAGTGCTTTGGAAAACCTATTTTGGGACAAGTTCAGGACAAACCTCACACAGCAGGCCCACATCGCACATATGTGTCCTGAGAGACACAGTGGGGAGTTGAACAAATGTGTTAGCAGCAGTATTTAATGGTCTCAGGAAGAAAGCAAGCAGGGGAAAAGGGGAAGCACAGGTTGAGGTCAACGTGTATGTCAAACACTTGACATCCAGCACAGGCTTTGGGGTTGCTCCATGGCTCTTTGCTGGTAGAAACAACCTAAGTATTCATCCACCAGTGACTTGGAGAATAAGCTTAATTTGCAGTGAAACACAAAGGATGTGTCCCATTGCAAAAAAATTCTCTTCAATAATTTTAATGGGTTGTATGTACAAAATAGCATCTATTTCCCAAACAATTTATAAAATCTGTACATATGTGTATATATATATATATATATACATATATATATATGGAACTCTTCAGCTTTTAGAAATGCTCCAAATTTAAAAGTTGCTGATTTGAAGGTAAGAGGAAGAAAAAGAAAAGTCTGAGCTCCTTCAGAACTGATATTCCCAGAAGCTCATTATCATAAATATCTTGGTTAAACAAAACTGAGCAAAGGTTGGTATCAGTTGACTTCAGGCAAAGAGTAGCTTGTCACTGTGGTTATAAAGACAAATATAAATTAGTGAAGAAGCCTAAAAGAATTTAGGAGCTTAGAGTCACATCATACTTCAGCTACAAATGATTGAAGGAGAGAGAAGCTAGATGAATTGACTCATGCAAAATATTTTGTAATTTATAATTAAAAATTAAAAAATAAAAAGTTTGTAATACTAACACTTCATCCCTGCTGCCATACAGAGGTCAAACCATGTACCTAGTCCTTTCTGTTACCTTCTCTATTATCTCTGCTACTGCTAAAGTAAACAGCTAACAATCTGGACAATCCTATCTAATTTTAATGGCAAATATGAGAAAACAGAACTGTTAAAAGAACCTTACAAAGACAGCATTAAATATTAATATAGTGAACTCTCATGACAGAATATTACAGTCAGAAACTCTTAAAGCCCACTGCAAGACTTTTCTCATTAGGATTCAGATGAAAACAACAAACCAAATTAATCCCTGGCAAAATTTCAAGACCTATGGCAGGTGTGACCAAGTTCCAGTAAAGATCACTAAGCATTCAGTTAGCCATTACTATTACTTAATTTTTTTATTTTTTTTTGCCTTCACATCTTCTTCCAGGCCTTTCTGGATGCACATCAGCGAATCCTTCATTGCAGCTGCACTGGTAAAACCCAAGTGTGTTATGGCATGATGCATTCAGGGAGCAGTCATCTTCTTTGGTTTTGCACTCATCGTAATCTGTTGAGTATATTTAAGCATAAGGGAAAAGGTGGAGAATATGTAAATGAAAATGTGATGGTTCTGAAATGGGAGCACAGTCATATCATCATGATATCATGGTGGGATTACACCTCTTAGCTGTGATACTCTGCTGTACATGTTAAGCAGCTTCTGAGTCTAGAAGAGGTGGGACACTGGCTAATTGCAAGGCACTGACAAAACCCTCCAGGAGCTGTGCTACCAGTGATGCTCAGCAGATACTCACTGCAATGTAGGCACCCTGCTGCAGAGCTCCTATCCTCCTAACACTGACTGACAGCCCAAGGAGACGCTTCTAACCCCAGGGGCTTCCTCAGCTGCCTCCCCCATTTCATACTCCTGAAGAGATGGTTAGTAAATTCCCAGCATGAGTGAAGCAGGAGGGTGGTGTGACTGGTCCAAGTTGCAGTCTAGTTGCTGTCTTAATTTTTACCTGGCTAAAATTTTCACATTTGAAACTAAAAATATGCTTTACTTCCCTTTCTCTTCACAAAGTCTGATTGTAACTGTGCAAATAAAGATGTACCACCATTGGTAGGATTCAGAAAGCAGCACTAACCACCTGCTCTATAGGGACCTGTCCCTGAAACAAACCATTTGTTTTAGCACAGGTTCAAGGGGGGCAGGCACTCTGCAAAGCGCTACCACAAGATAGTAGTGATCTTACTAATTAACGGATATGTAACTTTCCAGATTCACAGCTGTGAGGGTAACAGGCAAAGAGAATGTGCAGGGCAGACCATATACATGTTTCTGAAGTCATTTTGTGAGAGATTCTCATTGACGTAACAATATTCTTTGAACAAATGTATCCTGTTAAGAATATAGAATTTGGCATTTTTTTAAGAGATGGCACATTGACTTGTGAAACAGAATTCAACAGTAGTTAGTTAGGAGACTAATGTTTCTTGTTATGGACTTCAATTACATATAGAGGAAAAGAAGTTGTACAATCAGCCATTGTGCTAGTCTTGATAAAGTGTGGACTTTCATCTGAACTCCCGACCCACAGATGTGTGAGGAAAACACATACTCCCAGTGCAGAAGAATTCACATGTTCATTCATCTCTTGGGGTTTACATCTCATGCAAAATTACCAGTGCAAAGCAGAGTGTAATGTGTTTCAGAATTATTTTAAACAGTTAGTTATGTCTGTGTACAGGGACCTGTTTCCCCAAGTATCTTATAGAACCCTAAATTTGCAATCACTGTTTCTAATGTCTCCATATCTTCTTCTCTATAAAATTAATGCACTGGGTCTTTGGATCAGAAGTACGTCATTTCTTATTTCATCTTTTGATGGTCTCTGAAATAGCATTTTGGATGGATAAGCGTCAGCAATACAATGACTTTTAAGAAGAGCTTTTCATCCATCTGTTTTACAGGCACTTTCACCTCAAAAAGTACAGATTAATAATAGTCTTTATCATTTTTCTAGTTCTGAAAAACCATTGAGATACTAGCTGCTCCTTACCATTTATGGAGAGACTGCTCTTTTCAACTGTGAAATAGGAGCTGTGTTCAAAGGCATCACGAAAAGTGGTGATGATGTAGTAGATATCCACGTCTTCTGCAATCAGTAAATTGAAACTTACCACTGTGCTCCCATTAGTAATACCCGTTATCAACACTTTAATCAGACCAGCATCCATCTGCTGAAGAACCTCAAGGGGCAGAGATTTATGTACCTGGAATAAAAACAAAATGCATGTGGACGTGGACAGATTGAAGCAATTACATTTAAGGCTTTGTACACTGTCCAGAAGAGAGCATTATGCATTACAATTGTGCTTCATACTCTGGAGGAAGCAGCAGAAAATTGACCTTTTGCTTTATAATGTTTCCACTCTGTAGCAGCTGAAGGCTATGGTATATATTTAAGCATTAATATTAAACAAGCTTGTGGGAGACATTAGCCTGTCAGCCCTGCACAGCCTCTGAGAAGCAGCTAGGCTTTGATGAGAAACAGGCCTTGGAAGAGAGATGAGAAACTGTCAGGCTGTGCTAAGGTGGCAGGGAAAAACAATGGACAGCTGCAATGCTGAGCTGTGGAAAAGTACGGAACTGTCTGATGGGAGAGAGGGTTGATGTCTGTCTAGTAGCTGATTTGCTTGTAATGAAGGGGGAGCTTGAATATGAGCATAAGTATGTATTATTGCATAAGTATGTATTATTATAAGAAGAAAAAGAGAAATTAAAGAAAGAAAACAGCCCCTGCCCTGCAGGAAGAAAGAACACATAAGATAGCTCATCTGTCATTTGGCACAGGTCCTTGCCTCTGCAAGGGAAGGAAGAGACTGCAGGGAATCCCCCGTGTTCTGCCTCTTAAAGTGTTTCCAGGGAGAGGGGGCAACCCAATACGAGGAGGAGCTGCTGATGGAAGTGGAGATACCTCCTGACACTCCACACTGTATATATGACTCAGAGGGCTCCCTCAGCTTCAGGTATGTTACAGCTTAGAGCAGACCACCCTCAAGACTTTCTTCACAGGTGATTTCTCACCAGAGCCAAGCAAATAATGCTTCTTTTTAAATGCCCAGACCAGGGTAAAGAAAACAGAAAGGTGCTTCATTTCATCAACAATTCCACACAGTTCAACCTCCTGTTAAGCTAGCCTTCAATTTGATTTCAGAAATATTTCATTGAAGTCTTCCCTGAGGAGTATCATACCATTTCTGCAAATTCTGACTGTCATCAAGGCATACAGCCCTGACTCACAGTCCTCCTTCAGAGTCCAAGAGCTGGACTAGGAAATGACTCTGCACTATTTTGGTACTGCAGCACCAAATTTCAGCTGAACTTAGATCAGCATAGAGAAATCAATAAAATAAATATTCACAGTCTGTACATAGTAACGTTGGCCTTCATTTGTGGCCTAAGAAAGAAAACATCACCTTTTTCAAAGCACACTGAGCACCCAGAAGCTGCCTCCTTTACCACACTGGAGAGCAGGATGGTCAGTTTTCTGTGGGATGGGGAAACAGAACCCTGTGTGAGGCTTTGCACCAGCTGAGCTGCTCAGCCTCTTCACTGTCCCGCATAGATGGAGGCACCAACCCCTCTCAAAAAATAAACAGACTGGACCTGCGTGTTCAGGCCCTTCCCTTTCCACCCTCCAAGGCTAGGTGCCTCTGGAGGGCAGCCACCTATGGGAACATCTCCTCCTCCCACAGGAGAGCAGTCCATGGGGTAGGGCACCTGGACATACACAGGAGCCAGGGGGGGGACGTACAACAGCATTTGCATTTCCAGCACCATATATACAGAAATACAGCAAATATTTATATATTGTATATATATGTATATATTTATACACAGAAATACAGCAAATTTCTTTAAAACTCACCACAAAAGAAACTGGCAAACATCCACAATTGCTTCCCTCAGTCCTTTTCCTCTAGTCACCCAAACAAGGGGCCCAGTAAGACTGCATGGAACTCCCTGTGTACCTGCATGTCCCAAGGGAAAGCAGGGTACACATACACACACACTGCAGACAAAATGCATACCTAAAGACCAGATACCAGGGTAAGCCCAGGCTGAAACATACCATCCATCAATGTCCTGACTTTTTTCCATTAGAATTGTATATTTTCCTCTCTACTTTCTCCAGGAGATGCTCACAAGTCATCCGTGTTTCTTAAAATCTCATGTGTGTCTGGGAAGTCTTTTTACATTCTTCCACACTTACAAATAGAAAATGCAGCAACAGATAGCATGGGACATAACTTTCAAGCCTGCATCGGGGAGGTAGTACAGGCTGTTCTGAACTATTGATATTAAAGGTGCACCTAGAAACTGCCAGCAACAGTGCAACAGGAGACTGTCCACAGTAAGAGAGCAGGTCTCAGCAGCATGTGAAGGACAAATCCCATGCCATTCCTGTCAACCCTCCTGAGCCTGGGATACACGCAGCTTCCTTGTACCTAGCACCCACTAGCTTCAATGCAGGACACAGAGAGATGGAAACAGCCACAGAAACACCTACATTTTTGTGATTTCTTAGCATTCTTGCTCTTTGACTTTGCCCTCGAGTGGCTGTCAGGCTCCCAGGAGCTGCCATCAGAGAGAAAAGCACAGAGCACCAGAGGGTGCTCATTTGCAGAGTTACTGCACTATAAGGGCCAGACCAGCAGTACTTTGCCCAGGTGAGACCTGGCACTTTGCTGCCCTGAGCAGGAGAGTCTCACATCTTTCCCAGCACCTTGCTCTGCCTTAGGCCTTCTCTTTAGGGAATATCGCTCACTTCCTTCCCTAGCTCAAATTTCCAGAGAATTAAAGGGGCAGGTGGGGGCTATGTTGCAGTCACCTCCGACCCATTCTTCCTCTACACGTCTTCTACAGGAAATGTCTGGAACAGTAGGGATGGAATTCAGCCATGAGCTTAAGGCAGAGCTAATGTCTGTGGTGTAAGGAGAGCCTAGGGAAGAGGCAGGGCAAGGGGCAGCGGTGGGAGCCAAGAGGAGAAGCAGCCTCGTTTCCCTTTCACCCACAAATAGAGCTTGCGCATTTTGGTTTTGGTTCTCCTAGGTGATCAGAGCTTTTGCACACCTATGGGCTAAGCCTAACTTCCCTGCCTGATGTGTGTTATCCAGCCCTGACTTATTTGTACACTATGTGTTATCCAGCCCTGCAGACTACCCCAAATTTTGCAGGCATGCTGCAGCCTTCTTCTGAGTCATCTGAGCTGATGCATGTTGCATGAGCCTGGTGACAAGGTGACATTGCATGGAGCAAGCCCCTTGGAGCAAGCCAGCCATCTGGAAAGGCCTCCCAAGTGCCTGGAAGTCCCAGACAGCCAACCCTGCAGTGTCCCATGGGGCATGCAGGCAAAGCTGGGAGGATGGAAAGGGCTAACTTCCCTATGAAAGCCTGGGCAGACTGTAGGCTGTCCTCATTAGCCCAAAAATATCCTGTTTCACCAAACCAAGGGACTCCTGGGTCCCTTTTCCTCTCTCTTCCTGCTGTTTCACAAGCATGTACTGAAAATTTGGGGGTCAGCCCTAAATTTCATCTTTCATAGTTTTTGTTTGAACTTTTGGACATTAAATACACACACCTGTGACATCCTCTTAGCCCATCTCCAATTTCACCTGTATTCCCTTCTCATCTATCCTGAAGATTTTATTTCATCAGTGCTTCTTTTTACCTAAGGCTTGGGAATTTTTTTGTTTGTTTTTCATTCGATTGTTTGTTTTGTTTCTGTCCTTACTCATATTTTTCCTCACAAAGAAGGACTCAGAGTTTGAAACGTGTCAGGCGACATTGACGGTATTTGTATTCAGCCACTAGGTGACACTACAAAACCCTTTATCCAGAAGGCTACGGTTCCACAACAGGTACCACACCCCAGGTTATCAAAATAATGGTTGACGAAATGGTGCTAGTAAAAAAGGAAAGAGCAAGCTTTTAGAAGGAAATATTCGATATATATTACCCTTGAGTATAAAGTTTTCTTATTAAATAAATAAATTATATTGGGATCCATCATTGTATCTACAATTTCTGTAGCACACAAAGGAAATGTAAACAATGCAAGACCAGGAGAAATCAGTATGCCAGAAGACGAGCCACAAGTAAGGGAGAGAACATAAGCAAAATTAACACCAGCACTGAGGAAAGGGAATGTCCCTTACTCAGGCAAGAAAAACAGGGGGCAGAAAAAGTCCAAGTTCAGGACCAGATGGAAGCCACACTGAAGCCAATTTAACAGGATGGAAAAGGCCAAAAGGTTTTTTGAACAAAAGGAAAGTAGCAGACCCAGGCATCCAGGCTCAACCCATGGGTGGCTGTGGCATGTCTGGTGGGTTTTCTGGGACTAGCCATCCATAGGTCCCAGGCAAAATGTCAGCAACTCGTTAGAACTATTGTGGGTACCTGCACAGGTGCCTGCATGGCCAGCAGAGCAGGGAACATACTGGCAGTTTGGAAACTGGAAATAACTAAGTAAACAGTACATTAATTTCAACAGCATCCTGCATGTAGCCTGTTTTTTCACTCAAAGAGAAAAAAAAAAACAAACAACCTCCCCACTGTCCATGCTTTGGCTTCACCTTCAGAGAGAAGGTACTAGAGCACACATCTGCCCAGGCACCATCACCAGCACATTTAAGGTTGTCCCAGATCACAGAGAAACTCAAATTAACAAAAGGGGTGAAATTTCACTGGAATAATCAAACGGCCTTAATCCCTGTATCAGCACTCATTCCACATATAGATAACTATAACTGCAATAATTTTAAATGCATTAAGCTACAACAAACAAAGGTTATGTCACTTCAAATGAGAGGGTCACCTTGATAAGGCAATATCATTTGTTAGTTTCACACTTTTTGTCACTCAGTTAAGTTTAAAACACCCACATTCAAAACAACCTTTCCACTCAGGAATGTAACGCACCTCAGTGAATATATTTTCAATTCAAACCTTTTGTTTTCCTGACTCATTTCCTTGAGGACGAGCCCTAGCTGCCACCATATTCTTCTTGGCTGTGGCAAAAGAGCCTGAGCACAACCCAAGAAGACTAAAATGCTCTCTCACCCTTAGCTATGTTGCTTTTCAGTTGCTTTGCAAGGAGGATGGTGAAACTAGCCTGGACAATGACAGTGGAAGTTGTCACATCATTGTTTTTACCTTGTTCTCATCTACACATTATTTAAAAGATGGTATTTCCATTTGCCGCGCTGCTAATTTAACCACATGCCACTTAAGTGTTGGGGCAGCTCTATATTAAAAAAAACATTATACACATTAGGATTTATAAATCCCCTGAACTGTAGATGGTGACTCCAAAGAGGTTTAAAAAAAACATCTCTGGCAAATTTTATTTACCTGGAACCTGATAGTGCTTTTAAAGCCCATAAAACTTTCCTCACTTACTTTAAAGGAGCAGTTTCTGGACTTTAAAACCTGAAAAGAAAATATGAAGATCTTTCTGTTTTCCTAAACTTGCTTTTCTTTGGCATCTAGAAACACAACGCTTGTAATAAAACACTCGCAACATATTTTGCCATATACAGCAGCTATGCAACTGTAGCCTAAGTACAGTGGCTCAGAAGTAGATGCAATCAACACCAGGACATCTCACCAGCTGATCCACAAAACCAATGTGCTGGAAAAAGGAGTTAGTTTCTTATAATCACAAGTGATCATCTTCTGCCTGAAACTTTGAGAACTGGGTAAACTTACTTTAGTTCCTTTATGCAATCATTTTACAAATTTTCTAAATATATTTGTATCCATAATTTTCTGGTTTAAGGTATCTGTCTGTGTGAAGAAAATATATTCATTTTAGTCCATTTGAATACCACGCTATTCCAAAATAGCCTCAGATAGAGAATGATGCTGAATGAGAGTGAGGTCAGTGAAGAATTGTTCCCTTTTTACTTTGTTAATCACGCCACTCTTCATTCTGTGTCTGTTCTTCTGATGTGGCAGCTTGGGGCCAAAACAACTCAGAGAAAGCTGTGCTCTGCTAACACATCCAGAAAGGTGCAAACCGGTAACAACCAGTGGCAAACTTATTTGATATCCAAGAAAACATCATGCGCAGCTAAATGGATCATGCTTTTCCTTCCTTGCAGTTAGTTGTCTCTAACCCCACGCTGGCCTGACCTCTGCCCAAACACACGCTGCTGACAGTGCACCCGCTGCGGACAGCTGTATTTCAGTGACAGGTTGTAACTCTGTACGCAGTGAGAGTTTGGGGAAGCCTCTGCAGGATTTGAAAATTCATATGATTGTCAGCAATGGATTTATCCTCACAGTTAACGAGGCCTCTAAAAAACCAGACAGGTAAGGGGAAATAATGAAGGCAACAAAGCAGCCCAGCATAACCAGTGGTTTTCCAAGCACAGGTGTGTCTGAGTAAACACCAGCAGGAACAAATCTGTGATAAATTCACTAAGAAATTAGGAGAGTGAAGCTGTCAAAGGCAATGCCTGAGAATTATGAGAGCGTTAAAGGTGCAGCTCTGATATCACAGTGTGTTTTGGTATCCTGAGCTCTAATTAGAAGTGAGGGCAGAGGTGATTTATCAAGAAACCACTCCCTTTCCAGATAGGGGGCTACAAAAACAAGGATGATTATGTGAAATGTCAGCCTTAAGGTACTATGACAAAGGGTAATAACAATTATAGAGTTCATTAATACACCACTGTTCAGGGCAAGGATATCAGAGCACTTTGCAAATATCCATTAACTTTTCACCACACCCCTGCAGGAAATCAATAAGCCAGTATAACCGGGTATGATAAGCAGAGGAAATGGAGGTACCAGAGAATCCCCAGATCCTGATCTCACTCTAAAACACAGCTGCATGCTCATCCTCCAGTCTCAGAAAGTCAGGGGAACCCAGGCCTTACAGGTGTGTCAAGAGACACATATGTGGCATGCAGCCTTCATGGGAAAAAGATCATACACGTGGTTTCATTGAGATCAGTAACAGGTCACATCTTTCTTAACCACTTACTTCATCAACAAATATCTGTGCAAAGGTTTGGTATTCCTCGCTGCTTGTATTGCTAAAGCTGGGAGAGTATTTCACACTTGTTATCCGTACTGTGCCACTAAGTTTCTGGACAGCTGTAAAGTAAGAAAAAGACAATTTAAATACATGTTCTGTGATGGTAATCCATGGATAAGTGTGTGACAGTCACTGGCATGCCTGTGTATGAGGTATGCATTGACTCATAATGGCAGAAAATCAACCCTCTGAAATATAGCCAAAACCCCAAATGCCTAAACATAGGCATCCAGCACCTTAGCCTGCCCTCTCTGACCTCTAGGTGCCTCTCAGGAAAGGCACTGACCTCCTGTAGGTCTTACATCTGCCAGCTCTGTCTCTGATGCTCTGGGCCTGTGAAATATTGCTCTGTGGCTGTGTTCAGGCACCTGATTTGCTCTCCTGGACTCAGATAGCTGTCCCAGCTTCCTCTACACGCAATGGGTGACAGCAGTCCCTCCAAAAGGCAAATCACTGCAGCACAAAGGTCCTACCTCCAACCTCAGAGGAAGGTCAGACGCCTGCCTGAGGTTGGACATCTACACTTTAAACAGTTATTTTAAGATAAGATGAACTGCAACAGGGTGTACACTTCATCCCTGAAGTTGAATCTGCTGCATCACATTAAGGCAGTTTCAAATGTTTTGAGTTATTTCTTGATACCACTGGTTTTGACACTGTTACTACAGACACCGAAGGTGATCACAAGCAGAAGAGAAAGGGCTTCTCAAGACATGATTCATACCCCTAGCATCCTTTTCGTGGCTAGCCAGGCAAGCTGACTGCCATCACCCAATACTGTGACCTTTGCCAGCCAATTGTCTTCACACTGCCTCCCAGCTGCTAACAGATCATCACTCCCAGCATACCAAGATCTAGTGTTTCAATGGTTTATATGAATATAGGATAGTCTTCACCACAGACTTCAAGAACTCTATCATCTGGCTAAGGATTCGGTTTAAAATTGTTTCTGAATCAAGTTACCAGCCTTTACTTTCTGGTGTACCATCTTGCTTTCCTCCCTACATACATCTGTCCTGACTTCAACAGTACATAACCACCAGCTTCCAGCTCTGAGACTGTCAGACTCCTATACTGAGTTTTAGTCTCCCATATTGGCTGTTTTTTTCTGAAGTAGCAAGAATTGAAAAGCCAGACTCTACATAAACTCAGTGGACCATGTTACACCAGAGTTCTTTCCAGTCACACTGGGGGCAATAATACCTTGAGCTGGGACAGGTACGAGAGGCAAAGAAATAGCCATCAAGTAAAGCTTTGCAGGGGAAAGGAGAAAGTTGTGCCTACTTAAAGCAAGCCACCAAAGCAGGCCTCCTTTATCCATCATACTTCTGATCCCAAAAGAACCCTCACCACCACCCATCACATCAAAGGATTTGGGCTTGCTTTTTGCTATGGTTTGTCCTGGCTTGTGAATATAGGTATCGGTTATCTGATGGTGAGAGGGGAAAATGTTCTGAACAATTTTCAGGGGGGAAAAAAAAAAACTATGTTTAAAAGACATGACAGACTTCATGAAGAGTCGGCTGAGGTTGACCATCCAGATCAGAGATGTTGCCACAAGGAGGAGCTCTATATTAAACTTCACCAGACGCAGATTTTTGCCCTCTGAATTCCCTGCCCCGGGTGGCTCTTTCTCTTGTTCCCCAGGCACAAACCCTTCACAAGCTTCTTTCCCAGCACTTGGCTGAATATTTGATTCATCAGGAAAAGAAAATAAGTTTTTATAAACTGAACTTGTTTATGTGGAATTCTTTCATTTGTTTTCCAGCTGGAAGAAAAAGACCTTTGGTTTTTTGTCAGTTAAAATTAGTTATTTTGATTTAAAAAAAAAAAAAAAAAAAAACAATTTTTTTAACTCTTCCCTACATTGAAAGAAGTCAGGGGGAACACAAAGCAAAGCAGTAAATGGAGCTTTTCAATTCAGGTCAGCACGTTCAGCCCAAAATTGCTTCATCCACTTGGCCACCAAGGTCCCATATCAGTTATTCACCCAGCTCTGTTCCCAGATCTCACCCATGCCAGGCAGAGCAAAGAAGAGCATGAAGAAGAGAGAAGACAAAAGCTGAATAGGGGCATTGGCATGGCTGCCCAGAACTTAGCAGGACTGGAGAAGTGGACAGTGGCACTGGTGGTCAGGACTGGTGGTACAAGAGAGGCTGGAGAAGCAGCAGAGCTGGCCTTACAGGGCTGAAAAAAAGGTTTTACAGAGAGAAAGGAATGAGGGAGAACCAGAAGTGGGGCTGGATGAGTGGAGACCCCCAGGAACATGTGATCATATGGGAGGGGAAGAGAAAAGAGCAGAGGGGCATGAGATTTGGAATCGGAGAGATATGGAAGGCATGAGAGGCAGAAACAAAACTGAAATATCATTTACTAATACACTAAAAAAAATACATGTATTGATGTGCAGAGACAGCAGCATTCCTATTCCAAACAAAAACATAATTTAAAGACTAAATCTGACTCTAAGATTGACATATGATTCAGCTCTAATCAACAGAAAAATCCCCTAATTAGCTGCAATGCACCTGCCCAGATCCAAACAGATTAAGCTCTCCATGCCAGCCTAGTTACTCTCAGTTACAGCTCTTGAAAAAGTGGCTCACAGGTTTCCACAAAGCTCCTGCCCCACAGGGGATTTGCAGGGCTCTGCCTAATCCATCCTCTGCTGAGAGGAACAGGAAGGCAGGTTGTTTGCCTTCCCGGGTCTCTAAGGTGATTCTGTAGGAGGCTGCTGCTGCAGTACCCTGGTGCCAGAGCATGCAGGAGAAACCAAGATGTGTGGCAAAAGGACAAGCAGCATATGTTTTGATGAGCCATGCTCAGTGCACTCTATGATCTGCTTCTGCTTTGAGATGAGGAAATGTAACATCTAGGGAACTAACTGCCAAATTACCAGAAAGAGAAATTATTTTGACATGCTGATTTAGAAAAAAAGTGCCAGTTACTGCAAGAAAATAATTTTGACATAGAAAAACTAGTTTCAGACACCTTCACCCCAGACCACTGACTCCAGCTGTGAACTTTTCCCAACTCTGAGTGAGGCTTTGCTTCTTATGCAACCAAATTACCACGCGTGCAGGCCCCCACCAAACACATACTCACTGCGGTCCATGGTGGGGACAGGCATCAGGCCGGTGGCTGGAGAAGCACCTGGCAGACCAGATGACCCCAGGTCTCCAGTGTATTTCTCAGACCAAGAGCTGTTCTCTCCTCCCATCTCTACATGTGCGCTGAGAGTGGTGTTGAGGGTGTTGAGGTGTGAGAAAACACTAGCATCCCCTGTGGCTGGCAGAGTTGTACCGGGGCCACCTTGAGAGTTGGCTTGAGGCACACCAAAAGCTGTGTGACTTCTGGTGGTAGCAGAGGCTGTTTGATTTGGAAACACCAGCACCAGCAAAGTCAGTTGCTCTTGCCTGGCTGTGCCCATGGGAGCATTTGTGAGAGCAGCTGCTCGCTGCGATGCACCAGGGGAAGTCTCTGCCACGGAGCTTTGCTGTGATGGATTTATGGCCGCATGCCACTCTGAGCTCATGGCCAGTTCCTCGCTGGCTGCAACCCCTGTGGCCATGGTGCTGTTGTCCCTGCCGAAGCCCATCTGTGTTGCCAGGCCTTTTTCCCAAAGGGTCAGAGGAGCGCTGGTGGGGGATTGACTGTGGGGCACTTGCTTGTCACCCAGGGGCAGTGCCTCAGAGAGGTGTGCGGCAGCGCTCACCTCAGAGCCTACAGCAGGCAGCGTCTCGATGGTGGCAGGGGAAGCAGGCCCTGCAGGGCTTACTACTTCAGGAGCAAACTCTGTGCTGTTCGTTATTTCAGGAGCCACTGCTTCAGTGAGAGGCTCCACAATCGCACCTGCAACACAGCAAACGCACATTGAAATGGGACCTCCAACTGGATGAGGAGGCACCAGGGTCTGACCTGAAAATGGGACTGAGACCACTCAGCCATGCATAAGCGTGTTACAGAAACAGGTCTTGGATATTTCATTAACACAGTGTAGCATACGTGATTTTTATGGTGTTGAATCTGGTTTGTGTGTACACAAAGAAGCAGATTTGATTCCTGGGTCTCCCTGTCTGGTTGGTAGGCCAGTGGGAGAAAATTAGTTGCAGACATGCCAAAAGAGGAAAAAGTACACTTCATGTTGCTCAGCAGTCAGTTATTAGGCTAATCAAGGAGGATCTCAAGGAGATTTAATCTGAAAATATATATAAGGTTCACCTTCATGTTCAAAGACAGACCATGTATACTCCTTCAGCCAGAGACCGCAAAGGTGCATCTATATACATGCTGTGTGCTATATAAACGGTTGCAGTAAAAACAGAAGTAAAAAAACACAACTTATTCCAACCTTTCATGGCAAAGGGAAACTACATGCCAGTCTTGCTCACCCTCACAGTTTCTTCCAGGTCGGGATGGATTAGTATCCATGGTTGTCTTGCATCTGCACAGGTATGACCCCATCAAATTGATACACTCTGCAAACACAGAGCAGTCATTCTCGGTGTAAGAAGCACATTCATCCCAGTCTATAAGACCAAAACCAGAACATCAGTCAGCCTCCCTTCTGGCTGCACTAAGCTAGAAATAATCATAAAGTAGTCCTTTCTTCAGTTTTTGAACTTATTAATGTGTTCTTCCTTTTTAATCATTTAACTGATTTTTGTCATTTGACTGACAGCCAAGCTCTGAGTGATGCAGAACGCTATCTGTGTTGTTATTATCTCAAATAAAAATCAATCTTTGTCCTTGTACTCTGAAAAATATTTTCTTCAGGTAAAGAATTCTTTAATAATTTTTTTTTTTTTTTAGAAATAAACAGTTGAAGTGAAAAAAATATCGTAGGCTTGCACTTTAGCTATATCAAAAGCATACATTATACCAAGTTCTGTGTACAGAATCTCCAGATACATCAGATAATGAATAGATCTGTTACCACTAGCTAACAGTAGATAGAATATTAAATAGAGTCTTAATCCAAATAATCTTCTGCTTCAAATAAAAGGTAAATGCAAGTAACTCCCATGAGAAGCACTCTTCAGTTCTTAACAGCAGAAGTGCTAAGGGCAAAAAACTCATTTTATGACAGATTTCTTCTCAAAAGGTACTACTTTCAAACTAGGTCACATCTTTCTGGTAGTCTCAGAAAAAAAATCCTGGTTCATTAATGCATGAATACACTCTAAGGGTGTTCCTTATATCTTATCATCTCAGCTGCTCTGAATCAGTTAGAGATGCTTCTTTCATGGAGTTGTAGATCTGTTTTGCTGCCGAGTCTCTTCACTCTTGAAGGATTTAGATCTAGAGCCTTATATTACCATTCATACACTGTTTCAGCAAACATAGAATCATAGAGTCATAGAATGGTTTGGGTTGGAACCTTAAAGATCATCTATCTTCAACTCCCTGCCATGGGCAGGGACATCTTCCACCAGACCATGTTGCTCCAAGCCCCGTCCAACCTGGCCTTGAACACTGCCAGGGAGGGGGCAGCCACAGCTTCTCTGGGCAGCCTGTGCCAGTGTCTCACCTCCCTCACAGTAAAGAGTCACTTTCTTATATCTAATCTAAATCTACCCTCTGTCAGTTTAAAACCATTACCCCTCATCACTACACTCCCTGATAGAGTCCTTCCCCATCTTTCCTGTAGCCCCCTTTAAGTAGTGGAAGGCCACTGTCAGGTCTCTCTGGAGCCTTCTTGGCCAAGTTTATGCTTTGGACATTAATAATCTCAGTAAATCCCTTGTGCATACACCTTCACTGCCTCAGGACCGTAAGTGAGGGAGAGCAGAAGATCAGCCTGAAAACTGTGTCTTGGGACAAATAATCTGATCAGCAGCTATAAAATTGTTTTGAAAAATACATTAGCATTAGTGCTTGTTCTGCAAACATGCAGAGATTAATCACTGTGATTATTTCTCTGAAACAAAGTCACATTCTAGAAACAGAAAGTGCAGAACGGGTGTGTGCATGTACATACATGCATTCATCTTTCTGCTTGCAGTCTTCCCCTTTTACTTTCTTCCAGCTAACAATTAAATTACTTTTGCTTTCTTCATCATTAGATAATTGTTTTATCCGTGACTGTTTCCATTAGACAATTTCAAGTGCCTGTGGCCAACATCTGCCTATTATGTTATAGCCTGAGCCACTTAGAGGGGATACAGGATTGACTAAAGCACCAGCAATGAAAGCGCTCTCATTAGTGCCTCGCTATGCTGTGATTGTGGCTCTTGATGGTTTCAAACACCAAGAGATGCTCCTGTGCTAATTGGCAAATAACTTACATTCACTGGCTCCATTGTCTCTGAGGGTTTCCTTTCTCATCACTCAGCATGGCTTTTTATGCAAATTTCTTCACCTCTGATGGACACATTCAATCACTCATCAGGCCAAAACAGGTATGTTCTCTTCTCCGTGCTCACAGGAACTAGTACATCACTCATGCACATACATACACACACACACACTGCACTTTTTTCCTCTATAACCATGACATCTCAGCCAAGGTGTGCTCTGGGCTCTCTTTCTGCACTCTTGGCATCTCTCTGGCATTTCATGTTTGGCAACTGCCTTCCCTACACACACACTTCAGACAACAGTCCTACTCCAAAAATTATAAAAAAACACCTTTGTGTTCACTCTGATTACCCATTATACCCGTGAGATGTACATGCAGTGGGTAAAAATCTGTGAAATTCCTTGCCTAATGATGGTGCAGATGCTAAAGGTCTGCATGACTTCATGGGGAACATGGGAAAGCCAAAGAAATCACTTTGGATTCAGTGAGTTCTGGAGCTGAAAACAAGCGGTGGCTAAGAAAGTATCAGTGAGAGGCATCATCTACACTTGCTGTATTCTAACACTTCTCCAGGAACTGGCTCCTGACTGCTACTGAGGAGATAATACAGTGCTAGATGGATCTCAGGCCTGACTCAGCGGCACACATCCCTTTCTCTTTTCTTACCATGCCTCACACTACTGACAGACATTTTAGTGTCTCTGTTCATCATGGCAGTAAACATAATAATTTATGAGTCTTCAAAGAGAGATGCAATTGTTCTGCTCCCTTCAGTTGTGCTATCCCTTCTGACTTCTCATCCTTACTGTTTCAAAGTTGAATTTCCTGCTCTGCCACTTTCAGCAAAACAAGCAGATAGCCTTTTGGTGGCCAGGCTTCACAGTGATCCAGGTGGCATTGCTCCGCTGGCTTACTGTCAAAGGACATGTCCCAGGGATCTCGGGGGTCGGGAAGCAAAACAGCCCATTATACAAATCTTTCCTTCATATGCTGTACTCCTTTGCCTTATTTTTCACATTTGACTTTAAGAAATATATGTCAAACCAGTGCTTGTTTGGACAGAGCTGAGAAATAGATGCCTTTTCTCAACCCCTAAGGAGGAGTGGAGGAGTTGGCTGGGCTCCTGGCTGAGCGTGGTGCTACTGGAAGCCACCTGGTTTTCTGCAATTAAACTAACAGTCCAGAGCTATTGCCTTCTTCCTCCCCACTCTTTTGCTCCTAGGATCAATAACACTTGTAAAACATTTTGGCACACTTCAGAATCTTGCAACTCGGTATCTGCTACCACTGTGATATTTGTAGGCTTCAGGTGCAATTTGTCTCCTGTTTTTTTCTTGTCCTGTTCTCCTTAACATCCATATGCTTTACAACCCCAAAGGGAGTTTTCCCTCATCTCAGTACATAAGCTTTTAAGGGCTCAATACACTGAGAGAGAAGAATTACTCATTCTTTTGGCTTTGGAAACTTTTTGAACTCTGTGGCTCTGCCAGCTGGGAAACCTGAAGCCAGAACTTAGCCTTTGAAGATAAAAATGGTGATTACTGAAGATCAAAAAAAGGCCTAGTTTAACATAAATTCCACGCATGTTTCTGTAGTCCTATTCACTGAGAGGACATTTGGGAATTACTCTGGCTGGATTTCTATAGTGAAGATGTTAGATTTATTTTCTTAAACCCTGGCCTAAATACAGCCCCACAGTCTTGAAGCACAAAACTCCGTATAGGGCATGTGTATCTAAAGGCTACAAATATTCCACAGTAATCCTATCTGCAATTCAGGGTGAGGAAGATATGGCAAACTTCCAACTTCTCACAAAGAGGAGAGGTGAGGAAAAATAATAGGGAAACCAAGGAATCCACTTGTCCTTAAACACTGTGAAGGGAAGCAGTGCCTACAGGTACCCAGGGAGAGACAGTGATCCTTCATCTGATCACTTTGGGATTTATGGATAAATGTCCATGGATGATTTTACACATCATGGTTTTCCCTCCAGCAAACCATAAACTTCGTCTCTCTGTAAAGTACTTTTCATGAATAATGTTGGTGATATTGTGCGTGATCAAAATACAAACCCTGTTTTCATGCTTGAAAAAAAAAATAATAAAAATTACCTTCTACTGCAGTGTTTTGCTGATCCACCAAAAGCACAGAGCCATTGTGCATGTAAGAAAGCACTGGGGCAAATGTGGAGGCATCGACTGGGAACTCAGGATCCTGTACAGTGATTCTGAGCCTCACAATGATGCTTCCAGCTTGCAGGGATTCAGTCTGCACTTTCAGCTTCCCAGATTTGTATAAAGCAGAAATGTTGGGTGGAAATGAATTTTCAAGCTGAGCAAAGGGAGAGAAACATCAACAATTAACAGGAATAGCTCCTTTTAAAACTGAACTGTGGTGGCACCATTTTAAAGATTTATATATGTACAACATAGAAAATGTTGGAAAAATAAAAGTTTCAAAGTGTTTCAGAAATCTTACTATTCAGATATTATTGAGGCACAGAGAAGTATGAGTCTCCTTTGTGCACCTAGGTACCCTCAAAAATGGTACCTATCTGACTACTGGTCTCACAAACCAAATTTCATTTTGGCTCGAGCAGAATTCCTTCTGCCCCTGTTTGCCTGCATCATAGCTGAACTGGCCCACTAAGTCTGCATGGATCAGACCCTTGATGTTAGCTCTGTATGTCACGTAAGCTTTTTGCCCCAAACCTCCTATGTATTCTCCTCTGCACTCTCAGACTTTGGAACCTGGTCATCTCCACTGTTGCTGGAGCAGACTCTGGCTTGATTTTGACTGCTACCAGCTAGCAGTCCCCCATGCAGTACCCAGGCAGAGTTCGACACTTAGCTTTGGCCAGGGGCCAGTCCCAACAGGCTATCTGAATGTGACCAACATACTTTGGAAGACACAACTGTACAGATGCAGGCTGGTTTGTGCCAGTTGCTGTTAGTGCCAGAGAATGGTTCAGGGAATGTTTCATTTTCCAGTACGGACATAGCTTTAGCCCTCAGGGAGTACTTGAAACTCACCAGCCCAAGTCCAGCTTGCAGCCAAGTCCAATGACAAAGAAATCTCAGGATGAGAGACAAGAAAAATGGGGGTGGGTCACTCCAAGAAAATGTGTTTGAGACAGCCCAGCTTCAACGCAATATCACAATTACATCATAGATGATTACCAAACCATAAGTAGACACATCACTTGAACAAATGGTGTTACTCTGAGCGTTAAAGCTGGCATACTGCCGTCAATATTTGAGCTGTGCAGGAATTGGTAGTTTTACCTTACATCTCTAGAAGGCATCTCCCTTGCAAGAGCCTTTTGTTCCTACCTACACCTCAAAGCATGCCTTTGAGCACACAATGCAGCACCATAAATCAACACAGCTTTGTTCCCATTTAGTCCAGAGTTTGCTCCATAAATTCCTACAAACAAGCTGTTTAACTGGTCTAAGCTCACATCAGGGTGGGGAAGCAAAAAAAGAGGGGAGAAAGGATGTGACAGGGGGATGTTGTGCTCCCAAATACCCAAGGAGGCAGAAGGAACACAGATGGGCAACACTCCTTTTCCTTCCCAACCCCATGATGCCAATTAGGTCTGCATTAGTCTCAGAGAAGATTCACTTACAAAAATCCACAACAAAAGCGAACGACTTGCAGCTATGGGAAATAAAACCATGTCAGGAGGTTCAACTTATAATTTTTCATGAGCAAACACCTCTTCTGTGCTGCCTTTGAAAATGTAGGTCCATTATTGGCTTTTTCCTCGTATTTATATTCACATGTGTTTATGAGTCACCCTTTGTTCTGAGAAAGCCTTGTTTTGGATGGAGTTCCCAGTTCCTCTCTATGGGCCCTGTTCTCTACAGCAAAACTGTCAGACATTGCTGCATCTGAAATGTCCCTCCTGTTTGGGAAGCTGAGTTGGTAATAGACTTCATGACACAAGTTTTGTTTATGGCTGATTACACCTGAGCTTGGACAGTGACTACATGTGTGCATGCAATGAATGGGGCTGGAGAAGAAAACACGACCCCATAACTTTTCCTTAAAGAAGAAAGACCTTTGAGAGCAGTCAGGCATTTATTGAGAGGGAAGCACTGAAATGAATGCCAGCAATGTCATTTCAATAATTCATTAAAAAGCCTCAACTCAGTTCAGTGTGAGTTTATTGCCAAGCCAAAGATCCAAGGAAAAGAGTTCCTGTTGCATGCCTGCATTTTTAATTCCTTTACTCTTCTATAGGGGAAAATTCTCATTGGTTCCATTGCTAATAAGGCCAAGAGCTTAAACTGTCTAGTCAGTTGAATTTTTTTTTAATTATAAAGAAAGGTCACAGGAAACAGTATGATGATTTTCAAGGGATATTTCAGTTAGACATAAAATCCTCTATTACATTAAATAAATTCTAAATTGAAAAAAAAAAAAAAAATCACCCACAGATATTCTAGCATTACCTGTTCAAGCAACAGTCTTGAAAATTCTTCATATGCTGAACTGCTGACATTATGGAAATCATCAGTGAAATTGTAGTTGAGAATCCTCATAGTAACACCAAATACCTTGGCCTCTGTAGGACACAATATTAAAATATTCACAAAGCAGAAGAGTAAAAGATTCAATCAAAACTGATGTACCCAGACCAAAACTTCAGATGATGGAGGAAGAAGGTGGGGGAGAAGTTTGAAAGAATTGTTATTAAACCAAGAAAATAAAGTTGATATTCTGTTACAAGCTTCCTATACGTTGAAGAGATGCACTTACATCAGGCCCATAAAGATATTTAGATACCTAATTACAGCTGCATGACAAGTGGTTATACACATATCCTTGTGGACCTGACCCAACACAGCTCCTGCATTTGAATTACACCCAGGGTTGAATTACCTGTGAGCTCATCTCTAGTCCACCAGTCACAAATATTTTTTTTTCCTGATCTTGAGAGCATAGATAATAAATATATTCTTAAACTGAAAATAACAAAAAGCAGTGCATGCAACTTCTCTGTCTGGTAAGCCCTGACAGATAATGTACAGAGCATGTGAACCAAAACCAAGAGCCAAGGAATCTATAACCACTTTAACCTGTATAAGCAATCTGAAGCTGTTACTCTTTGGACTGATCTTTGGAAAAACTTTTATTTTTCTTGAGGTCTCCAACTTCATACTCTGAAATTCAGCCCCCTGTTGCTGTAACCACTAGACTTCCTACTTTCCTTCTACAAAGGGAGTAATTTCCTTCTGACCCAAACTGGAGTCATCCCTTGTCTGATCAAAGGGAAGGCTTTTATGGATAAACATAAACAGCAGCATTCTCACTGTGGCCAGTATTAAATAGTTCACTGCCTACTTTTCAAAGAAAATGGGGAGAGATTTTTTTTTTATTTGCATGAAGGCTTAGGAAATAATTTACAGAGAATGGAAAAGCAAAATTATGTTTGTTCAACACCCTAGGGTCTCAGGGATCTATCATCACTAGTTAATCGAACAAAACTGTGCAGGTATTCTGCAAGCTTTCTTACACAGCCCTTTTTACTCCCTTTAATCCTGTCATTCACAAATATTCAGCTGAATCTTGTCTTCCTCTGGGCACCTTTCTTATCTTAGCTGAGCCCTTGACAAACAAGTTGACCGGATTTCTCACTGGCCACAGTCATCAATCAAGAAAAATGGGGCCTGATGGGAGATGGGTGGCAGCAGAATGCAGTGCCAGGCACCAAAAAAAAAAAAAAAAAAATGAGTCAGCTCTGGCACTGCTTTATCAACTAAGGCCAGAGCTCTGCTGCCTGATAGTCTGGGTTGCATAAATGCTGGGGTAGAGGAGAGAAAATGTGCTGAAGGAGATGGGAAATGGAGTTCTGGGAGGACCAAATGGATCATTGCTGAACCACAAGTGAATGAAGAGAGAGAAAAAAAGAGAGAAGGAGAAAGAATGTATATATATATATTTTAAAGTGGCTATTTACCTGTTTTTACATTTTGGCGGGAGATGCTGGTTTTTCCACAGGTTTCATACCTGATCTCTACTGAATACATCACCCCTGCTTCCAGCTGCGACACGTCCATTTTCATTTCCTTTGTCTTCAGGTTTTGTACAATCTCTTTGCCCTTGAACACTTGCACTTGGAAAGTATGGTTCAGAGTAGAAGTGACATGCCAGGACATTTCAAAACTGTTGCTGGTAACGCTGAAGATTTGGTGGTTTCTAACTGCAGAGGGATCTATTGCAGTCCCAGGAAGAGTCATCATAGAAAAAGAAACATTTCATCTTTTAAGCATTGTGCTAGTATAAATCTATTATAGACAAGCACTTTAACGATCAATAGGGGAAGCTCCTCTTTAAATTATGCCAGGAGATAATCTGTCCCTCTCACACTAGCAAGTCCCATCATCCATGAACCATTCCACTAGAGTGATTAGTTGTGTCCTTATTCTTTTTATTTACTTTTACTATACATATTTGTGTTGACTCTCTAGTAACACTAATAATCAGCCAGTGAGCTACAGGTTCAAGCAACAGGAATAAGTTTGGAATAGTGAATCTGTGTACTCTCCATAAGTTTTGCCTCTTGTCACCTAATCATCAAAATGCACCTCCTCAGGCAAAGGCTGCCTTGATTTATGCCTGGACAAATGCCACAGACTCCAATTTATAGAGGCTGGGGGCAGAGTGGCAGGCAGCATTTCACCTATTTACGCCACTCTCATTCAGTGCAATCATTGTCATGTCAATGGGAAAAGACAGGGCCCTTCAGAGATGATACCTCTCCTTGAAGGAGGAGTAGGTTTCCCTGCAGCAGGGCCTGTCTGTCTCCACTAACTAGGGTTCTAGCCCAGACTAGACACCTCTCCTGTAGACAGCTGGGGTCAGGTGAGATAAACATCCCACAGCAACCTAGAGACCATGGCATGCTGCTGCCACAACTTCAGTTCCTTCATCATAATGGTTAGCCTGAGAAAAAGAGTTTTCTTAAATTGTTTCAATAGGACACAACTGTTTCCAGGACTCTGAGCCAGGTGGCTGCCAAACACCCCCAAAGCCATACCACCGCTGCACTAGAGGGGCTTCAGTTTAATTCCTCTAGCTTCAGCTTGGATCAGAAGCTGAAGATCAAGATGTGGATGAAGATCAAGACTATCCAGCCTGTCACTCTGAACTAGGCGAAGAACTACTTCAAGCTATTTCCACCCACAAGAAGACAGGATGTTGTTAAAAGGATGGTGATAACTCTTTCCTGAAAGGGCTGAAGTCACTTTGAAGAAAAAGCTACTGGGGTTTGTTCCCATCACAGTCCCACAGACAGCTATAATATATAGAAGAGAGAGTGTTCACAAAGGCTAACTAACTCCAGTGTAGGGTAGCTGTGGCCAACCTCCCTGATTCATGTCCCCCACCAACATCTTCATGGACTCAAAAGCAAGAGGCCTGTATGCCAGTGGCTGTGGCCAGGAGAAGCTCCTATGGTCAGTAGCAGATCCTTCCATACCTTGTTCCAGGAAAAACCTGGGATATGCAGTGAGCTGGGTCCAGGGAGATTTAAGTGATGCTGGCCTCACACAGCTCTCACTGGCATCCTTTGCATGCTGGGGGATTATCCCACACAAACCCTGTGATGGGACCGGCACTTGAATGACACACCAGGCACAAGTGGCTCAAGAAGCCCAGTGCATCCACCTCCACTTCCAGAAGGCCAGTTCCCTTCTGTAGCCATGGGGATGACAGCAGAGCTTCTCCAGTGGCCACTTCACAGCACACCAGTCCCTGATCTGAATGTCCCATTGGGAAGGCCTCTCTCTTTCCATTTCCATAGGTGGAGATTCACTCCAAAACTATTATCAGCTTCTGTGAACACCCTCTTGTAACTCAAGCAGCCCCAGGAAAAAGGGATCAAAGAGTAGCTGAATTAAAAACAAGACAGTATTCATTCAAATCCAAGGTTACTTACAGCACCCGGTGTCTTTAGTTATGGTCAAGAGACTTGAATTACTTATAGATGGAGAGCTATTGCTAGTGTTAACAGGATCTAATGCTGAACTTGGAGTAGATGCTGCCATGCCTAGGGTAAAAATAGTATTATCAAAGAGTTAAAGTATTCCTAACAAAGCAAATCCAAAATAATACTGTTCATGTTTTCCACAGCTGAAAAGCAGCAATAGAAGTAATAGAAATAGAAATTAAAATAAACGTATTATCGTATCACAAAAGCATAAAGTAATACATTATCTGAATGTTTGAGATTAAAGGATTGTAATATTGTTTTCTAACTAAAGCATTGAATCTGCAAGCACTTCTTTATCTCATTAACTTAAAGCCTATTAGCAGGCCCATTGATGTCTGTGGGCTATAAGTACATGCCTCTATATTTTGCTGAACTGGTACCTCAAAGTATTATTTCACCCACTGCCAAACTCCGGCTGCCTCCAGCAGAGTGACAGTGCAGCAGCTCAGGGTGGGATTATACAACCACTGAGCCCTGGCTGCAGTCACGCAGTCAAAGTGGGAAGGATGCTTTGTGTACCGATATTGTCATAAATTGTATTTTCCCAGAAGGCTGGCAAGGTGTACTGACAGTGAATGACTTGCTCTGAGAAGCAGCCAGGGTCTAAAGCTAGAGGGTTTGTCAGGGGAATGAGGACAGTTAAGGGCAAGATAGGAGAAACAGCCAGGTATTGTGAAATAAACACACTGCATTTCACTCAGAAATAGCTAACAGCTGGCTTCTGTGGCATCCTCTACCAACAGGAGGAGAAGGGGCTCTGTGTGCTCCAGAAATCTTTGCAATAAACCACAGAGTCCTGCAGAAACATTCTCAGTATTTCCCAAGGTGAGTCCTACATTTCTTACCTTCCTTTTTTTGACTCGGCAGGTGAGGGATGATATCTGCGTGTTCGTGCTGAGGATCGCAGCTGTAATAACCCTCTAAATTTACACAGGTGATTTTCTCTGGACAAGCATTGAATTCAGCATAGGAACATTCGTTGACATCTAAGAAGAGGAACACATCTTGAACAGATACTGAAAGCAGCATCAAGATTGGTCTGCAATGTGTGTAGACCAGGCTCTGGATATGATAGATTCACTGCAAATCTGCAGTAACTGATGAAGCAATTCTGGATGTATATGGGTGCAGTGAAATCAGAATTCTGCCCTTCCCCGAAACAGTTATAACCCTATCACTTTTTACTCCAGTTCTTTGGAATAAGAGGTCAGTTAGTGGCAGCTCCTGCTTACAGTTGCAGGATGTTATCCAAACCTAAGAGATGTCAGCAGCAAAAGGAAGAGATCTACCCAGTGATTTCACTGAAAGTTGCACTGAGCTTTCAAAAGTAAACATGGAATAAGAAGTGATGACAACAGTACTTATGGAGGCATTTCAGGAGTGAAAGTATTCAGATAACCACACAGTAATAAGTAGATTAAAATAATTGAAACTTAATATATTTAAATACTTTCCTAACATTAAAAAAGTAGGCAGTAATACGCTATAGTAAGTAACACACTATAAATATGAGCATCTCTGCTGCCCAAGAAAACACTTTTTTTAACAGCCTGTTTAATACAACTAATGACTGTGCTACAAATATGGACACCTTTGCTTTTTCATCTGCATTTTTCATAGGCTATGCTATTAGGAGAAAATAAATTTAACTGAGGAATCAGGAGTATTCCCCCCCCCAACTATTCACTTCAAAATATCAACTGCAACCGTCTCCATCCTATAACGGAAAGGTTAGGGCCATATCTGCAAAGTTTACAAGAACCACTATGCTATTTCTGAAAGCAAACTGGTAGTCATATAGATAAAATCCCAAGTGAAGAGGGATGAATTCCCCTAAAAAAGCTTCCCCCGTAACGGGATTATAATAACCTTGCACTTCTGTGTCAATCACTTCATACACGCGTTTCACAATGTCCTTCAGGGACGAAGAAACCTCCACTAGCGGAGCTGGCTGATGCAGTCCAACAAGAACCTGAGAGGCCACTGTCCCAGAATATACTTCTGCACCATTACTCTGGATATGGTGCACAGAGGCATTCAAGGGCTGTAATGCACCAGTAATCTGAAAAATAGGAGAACAAACACTTCAGTATCTCGTTCCTTTCTCAGCACAGCTGTACACCAATGAGACATAACTCATGCAATGATTATCATCATAATCTGAGTGTAGAAAGCACCAATTCAGAAACCATGGCAAAGTGGCAACATTCAGGTCTGTATTTATGCAAGGTGAGTTCTTATTTTTACATTTCACAACAGAGTTACGGTATAGTAATGCCAAGCTAAGGGGAATGTGGAGCTGCACATCAGATCTCAAATGCTTAGGCAGGAGGATGCAAACCAGGAAGATAGGGGAAAGGTCTCTTTGACTTGTAATGCTTAAACACCAAAATCTCAATAGACAGAATATACATTAGAGATGCTTTTACAGTTCATCAGTGGTCCGACACTTTTTACTTTAAGCAACTAAAGAGACTGTTAGCAAAGGAAATAGAAAGAAAAAGAAGAAAAACAAGAAAAGCAATGGACTGAGGAAGAAGGCTGGGACTAAAAGTCACAGAGTGACCCTAGGACTGACCAAGTCATTGCAACGGTGAGTCAGAAATGAAAGGAGGGACATGGTGGTGGGCTGAGCATTACGAGTCAGTGGAGCGGACAGGGCCTGGAAGACATGCCTCTGAGTAGCAGCTTATTGCAAAGCTTTATTTTATATTTCCTAATTCTTGAGTGTCTGAATTTGCCATAGCTTGCTTTAGACAAAGATATAAACGTCTTGGCAGATCCTTGGCCTCTACTCCTTACTGCACAGTAACAGGACCGGGGTTTCTTGCTTTTTTGGGATATGAGTAGGGGGAATTCAGGTAGGAGGAAGAAATACACTCATGCAATATCCCCATGCTACTGCTACCATTTCTGTTCTCCTGCCCATCAGTGCTAGCTGATGATGGAAGAAGGGTTTCCTTTGTTACTTGCCCACTCCCAGATGGAAGCTGGGGAGGAGTAGAAATAAAAATGGAGGGAAATAGGGACCTACACCCTTGGGTACCTTTTAAAGGCCACATGCAAGGCTGGTTTTCTCCATGGCATGGTATATGTACTAGGGAAATGCTTTGGATTTATGGCCTGGAGGGTCTTTGTCCTAGTACATCAATCCATTTCCTAAATACCACTGAGAAGACAGAGAGAGTATGGCTTTAGTTTGGAGCCCGGTTCTTCCTGCAGACCATCCTTTTGGGAAGTGTGTCTCACACCTCTGCTAGGGCTGTGTTTTTCTTGGTTGCCTCAGATTATTTGTACCTGCCTTGTCAGGGATGGGGAGAGGCACACCGTGCTGCTGTCACGTGGCTGTGCATGCAGAGTTGCCATGGCTGCTGCTAAGCCGTGCACAAGGCTGAGCCTTGGTCCTACAACAAAAGTAACACCCTCCTGTCTCCCAGCCCTGTTTCTGCATCAAGAATGACAATGAAAACGCCCTTGACCCAGACACAGTCCCCTGCCGTAATAATCCTGGGTTTTTGCAGCAAAACTTCTGGTGCTGCTGAGTCCACCTGCTGTGTAGGTCCCAGCACCATAGATCAGGTTTGTCTCTTGAAAGGTTTAATTCAAAACTCCTTCTCAGAAAACATCACGCCTTGCAGCTCTTGAAATCTGGACCCAAAACTGAACTAAGGCAGAGCTGGCACAAGTATCACTTAAGCAGGAAAAAACCCTATATTCCATTATGTATTTAAATTGCCCTTGGAAGTGACCTGAAAAATTTACTAAAGAAGCTGATAAATCAATGTTACTTCAGCTGCTTGAGGATTCAGCTGACATTCAGTAATTAAGAATAAATTAGGGCCAGAAAAAATGATCTGGCAGAACCAAGGGGGAGCAACTGGCTGGCAAGGTTATGCCCAGCAGAGGGGACTATGAAGCAAGCGGTGGTTACTGAGTAACAGAAACGTGGGCACAACGAGCAACACACAGGAGTATTCGTGTTTGTACATACCATGGAGTGCAAAAGGCGTGAATGATTCAGAAAGTGGGAATCCACTCTGATTAATTCATTAAAATCCATTTTCACAAGCACTGTCACGTTGTACCAGAACGTTCTTCCTGAAGCATACAAAATAAAACAGCCAAGTCATCTGAGGTCTGATGCTATAGAAAGCAACAGAGTTACAGGAAGGCTCTGAGAAACCCAAGCAAGCTTTAACTTGGCAAACATAAAGGGCCCACATCACAGCCATCAGCTATAGCCTTGCTCATTACATGCCACAGACAGAGGCACCAGCGAAGGAGAAGAAGCCAAGGAAGGTCCACTGGACCCGCAGCACCCACACACTGTTCAGTGCTCACGGGTGCGAGTACTGAAGCCAAATATCCTGGAATTGATACCAAGAAGATTCCCGTATTTGTTTTATGAAGAGCTATGGTAACGGCTTTCCTGCCCAGTCCTACCCTCAGAAGGAAAAATTAAGCGTATTTCTATTAGAAGCAGTCTTGAATTTATCAGTAACATACCCTCTGGCATTGGATCCACACAGACTGATCCTTTGGATGAGTTGCAGCATTTTTTAAGCTCTGGACATTCAGTATCGAACGTGCAAGGATAATCAGATGTTTCCATATTCTCCATTGGACAAATACCAGGTCTTGAGGCAAATATACTGGATCTATTGAGTGCTAAGTAACAAAAACATTTCTGAGAACAAAAATATAGAAAACTGTTTCCATAAAATTGTGCTATTTAATTTATAGCAAACACCTCCTCCTTATTTTAGAAGCACGTCTGTTCAGAGGTTTTCATAGGGAGAAAATAGCAGCCTAAAATAACATTATTTCAAGAGTGTAAATGTTCTCAGATTTTTCTCTTGTTCGTGACATTTCTGTTACAGAAATTTTGAATTGATAGTTTTCCATTAATAATCATCGAAGGATGGATGAAAAGATAGATAGATAGATAGATAGATAGATAGATAGATAGATAGATAGATAAATAGATAGGTAGATAGATAGATAGATAGATAGATGGATAGATAGATAGATAGATAGATAGATAGATAGATAGATAGATAGATAGATAGATAGATAGATGGATAGTTTCTAAATGTGGAGACGCTGAAGCACTGCAAACCAGAAATTCTGTCTGATGTCAGCTATGACTAATCCAAAAAATATATAATGATCAAAGGAAATAGGTAATGTCTAAGCTGGAAATCAGCAGTTTTCATTGAACCTTTTGTTGAGACAAAGTTAACCTTTAGTTATGGTAATTGGCGATGTTACATGAGAGCAGAGACACAATGCTGTTCTCAGGTGCAGGTTACACAGAGGGACAGGAGAGCAGGACTGAGCCCGTTGTCTGCAGCCTGGCAGCTCCTGCTCGGTATCAGCCAGCCAGCCGCCGCAGGAGGTTGGCAGCCCTCGCCGGACAGCCCTGCAGAGAGGGCAGCTAAAGCAGAAGGTTACCGCTCCCCAGGCCAAGGGCAGACAGTGGTCCTGGCTCGTTGCCAGCACATACTCTTCCCCGGATGAAAAGAGAAAATATTTCTAAGGTTTATAAACATTACTTTCACCCATGCTCTCAAACATACCTCCACGTAGTGCTCAGATCTGGTCTTCCTAATCAACTGGAAAGATTTCTCTTTTCCATTCATTTCACGCCTACAGGTTTTTGATCCTACAAACTCCTGATCCATTCCTGGGCTATGGGACCTACACAGCAGGTGGGCTCAGCAGCACCAGAAGTTTTGCTGCAAAAACCCAGGATTATTACAGCAGGGGACTGTGTCTGGGTCAAGGGCGTTTTCATTGTCATTCCTGATGCAGAAACAGGGCTGGGAGACAGGAGGGTGTTACTTTTGTTGTAGGACCAAGGCTCAGCCTTGTGCATGGCTTAGCAGCAGCCATGACAACTTGGATGCGACACCAGTATGACAGCTCCTCCAGGGGCTAATGCAGTCAGGAAAGGCATGAGGTGAATAACTGAAGGGAGGAGGTAACTTGCAAGAAAAAAAATACTAAAAAGGCTGTGACTTTTTGCTGTGAGAGAAGAAGGCTGAGGGGGGTGTGATCAAGGTTTACAAAACCCCAAAGGCAGGGGGGCTAAGGTGAAAGCAGAGCTGGTTATTAACCAGAGCCCACAACAATAAAATGGGTAAAAGCACATTTCTTCAAACAAATGAAAGTGAACTTCTGCAGTTTGTCAGCACAGGAAGACACAGAAGCTGGCCCTCAAAAAACTGTTTTGAGCTGGTGGGGTCAAAAAAGGGATAAGACAGTTCCTGGACAGGAGGCCCATAAGCAGACAGCATGGGGAATAGGCAGGGATGTCCCCTCAAATGACCATAATCCCAATCCTGTGGATGCTGAGGACACACAAGGGACCCAAACTGCAGGGCAGCCAGAGGTACCTGCTTCTGATGAGGACCTGTATGGCATTTTGGCACTTTTCCACCCCAGGCTGATGCTGAAATGCTGCCCACATGCCCCTGGTGACACCGCTGTCCCATGGAATTCTGGTAACAGCCCATGCAGAGAGGACAGCACAGCTCCCCACTGCTCTGGTTAGACTCAGCATGACAACACCTGCATGCAGGCTCTGAAAGGTCCCAGCCCTGCCGAGGAGCTACCTGGACACCTAAAATGAACTTTTTTCCACTTTACAGTTGTTTTCTGAAAACTCTGGAAAATTACACACACAGAGCATACTCTGATTAACGCATGGACTTAACATTGCAAATAAACGCCCTCAAGTTAAGAAACTCCAGGATTAAACTGGGACTTCTTATTTCAAGGTATTTTGTACATTTGTGCTTAAAAACAAGCCTTAATCTCATGCTGATGCATTCTTTTGCTCCCTAGCTGGGGATCAAGCAGGGTTAGATGGCAGATAAGGAAGCTCTCTGGTTTCATCTCATGCGGTAAGGTGGAAGGTGGGAAGAAAAGCAAGTCACCGGGAGAAGTAACCATACCATTGATTCAAGCAGCTGGAAACTAGCCTGGAGAATTGGACCCTGTCTCTACCTAAAAAAAATCCTGCAAGATGCTAGGAAACTTTCATACAACAAACTCCTAACAACCTTTCAGAGCAGTGGGTTTTGCAGGTCTGGGAACCTGATCTGCAGACCTAGGACCTGCTTAGCAACTGGGGTACTGCTCGCAGTTATCATCAAGGATGTGAGGCTCTGCACTCCAACCACACAAGTTGTTAAAAGCAGTGCTAAGCACTCTGAAAATCAAGATCAAAATAAATTTAAGAAAAAATTAAACTGCACCCTAGGTGTCTGGGAGTGGGAACACAGAATGGTTTGATCTCAGTTTCTCTGCAGCTCAGTTGCCCATCTATGAAAGACAGAGAACCTCCCTCCCTTTCCTCAGGCTTTGTGAAGACAAATTGCTGTCTGTGAATCGCCACAGGATATACCTTAAAAGGTGACAAATAATTCTCTATGCAGAGAGAGGCTCAGCAGAGCACTGCACCACCACCAAATGCAGAGGCCAGGATGATGTTCTGCCGGGGAGCTCCTTGGAGGGGCTCCATCATCCCTGAGTACCACAGGGAAACGTGGTCCTCAGGGCAAGGCAGCACCAGGTCACGTAATTAAGGTACTAATCTGCATGCATATGCACAAAGAGAAGAAGGAAAGGTTGTATTATTTAATTCTACCTTTAGAATTAATTCTAGCACTTCCTAACTTTTAGATACTTTTTGATTTTTATTTTTTAAAAGTTTAAGTATCTTGTGTGTGCATGTGTAATACTATCTTAATGGATTGACGGGCAACAAGTGAGAACTGCCAGAGCAACTTGACTAATGATCTAGACATTTGTTCCCAACAGTAAAGAAATAATAAAAGCAGGCCCTGCCATATCGAAGGCAGGGATAAATGTTTCCTTCTAGGAAGAAAAGCTGGGGAGTGGCCAGGAGCAGGTTGCTGTGAAAGGTCATGGAGACCTTTCCGCTCCTAGCAGGATGGAGAGCGTGCCAGCATGGATAACGTCAAGAAGAAAATAACAGTAGTTCAACTGCATGCTGTGCCGTAATTTCAACAGTTCCAGTTTCTTTCCTCATCATTTATTTAAGACTGTGTCTAGACAATGCATTACCATTCACAGAATTTATGACTAATGCCCTGAAAAGCAAAGATACCGGAACAATGCAAACACAGAAATCACCTAGAAGCCATACAAATCCTTTTATGGTTTAAAATATTCCCAAATTAACTCTGACAGGAAAAAGAGTCAAGGTGACCACAGTATTTCATGGATAAACCTGCACAGCATGCCCATCAACAATGTGGCAAGGGCAGAGCGGAAATTCTGCATCTAACCTTTACGGGAGATTTGCAGATTTGTTAATGTTAGATGAAATAAGCTCATCAACAGCTCTCAAGCCTAAATTATCCCTAGAGATGCTTTTAAAAGGCATAGAATTATACTGGGAAAAAAAGTTTAAAGTGTCACCAGGATGCCTTTTTTTTTCCACCCAAGAAGATGGTCTTGATTTTCAGAGGTTCTGAAACACCTTGAAAATCATGATCACTCACATATTTCTTGTAAAAATAGAGACAGCCATAACTTGCTAGTGACTCTTCAACATTTAGCTGACACAGTTATTTCCTTGTACTACAGAATTAAAAAGCAGTTTTCTCCGATTGCTTCTCAGGCTTGCCATTTGATACAAATGTGCACACATGTATGCACGTGCATGTATATCAAAAAGACCTTACTGAAGTAACTTTTCAACATTAATTAGATCTACTGGATATTTTCCCCAGAGCGGAACTGATACTTGAAAAATACAGATGATCAACAGTGGGTCCTTCACCCACCCAGACAAGACTGCCTGGACATACCGTAACCTGCAGGTCAAATTTTGCCTGGCTGACACTCCACAACAGCCACAGAGTCAAACAATGGCAGGATACAATAAATGAAGAATTATGTGTATCTAATTATGCTTTTGTTTCTCTTCTCTAGCAAATCGTTTTAAGAACAAGTAAAACAACATGACCACTTCTGTGTTCCCACCTTTCTCTTAGAAGCATTTTCCTGCTAGACACAATATTATACTAGTAACTGTTGAGAAAACATCTGGCAAAAATTGTTTGGAGGTTCATTTTCCAATGCTCTGAAGCGGCTTAAAAGTAGGATGTACACATTGTTCTTGACAGATCCCATGAGAAGATATATGGCTCATACCCTCTCATGTCACGTTATATGATCCGATGCAAGAGCAGGTTCGGGGACATTCCCATAGATCTGAGTCACACAAGTCTTATGACCCAAAGCAAGGGCCAGGGTTGCAATAGGACCTTTCCTTTTCAATCTTCAGTTGCAGTGCTGTGACTATGTAAATTCCCAGGACCGTAACTTGAAAAGGGGAAATGGAGAAAATGCAATGTTATACTAAAAATAGGAGACAAAGTTATGTCCTGCAGAACTTTTCTGAATGCTGGAACAGTCCAGTGCTGGCCTAGCTAATCCAAGATGCCTATTCATCTTAAAAGCATGTGGCTTTATCCATTAAAAAAAAAAAAAAAAATTTTTTTTCTTTTGCCCCAAGGAATCCCTTTCATCTACGTCTCAAGTTCTGCTAAAATTGGCAATTTCTTGTTGACATCTGGTAGTCCTGATGTAGGAAGGGGAAAAAGCTTCCATTTTGAGTCAAAGATGATTAAGTCTTCCTGAGTAGCGTCTTGTTAGAACACAGAAGTCAGATCAGATCCAGAAAAACATTCACCAGTTTCCAGACCTCCAACATAGCTCTAGGTAACAAAGGAAGCCCTGAAAAAAATGGGCCCTAATGTAGTTTTGACTGGAAAGCAGTTGCTACCAATTCATCCTGAGGCCACATCTTGTTTTAAATTAACACCAAAATTGGGTTTTCATCCTGGGAACTGACCCTGCTCCAAATCAAATGAGATGTTATCCTAACTGCATCCTGAATTACTTTTGAGAAGAAAGCTCTTACTGTAAATGCAAGCATGCTCTGAGCAGAGACAGCACCAGGCAAGGCTATGTGAGTTATTGCACTTGGCCAGGGATATCAGCCTGAATGAGAGATGAGCCCTTGTAGGGGTAGCAAGCAGGCGCGTTCTTCATGCTCACCTGAAACTTTAGTGGTTTTGTGACTAGGGGTGACAAAGAGCAGGAATCAGGAGCATTAGTCTTTCACATCTACTCCTTACCATGTTGGGCCAAGTTTACTGGAGATTTTTGCAGAATCCCTGATTTCAGTGAACAGGAACTTATTGCCCAGAACTAAGTCTTTACATATCTCAGTTTAAGTGTAGCATTTATTTCAACTATTAATCTGGCTAAAACTTACCTAAAGAGCAGTAGAGTCCAACTTGTTCATATCCTTCGCAGCAATCTGTAACAGTGATGGTTTCAGGGACTTCAACAGTATGGTACTGTGTTTTATAGTATGTCCGGGGACACACCATCCATGGTATCCACCCTCCACAGGAAGTGCTTTTCTCATAGGACTTTTGGTAGGCAACCACTTTAAACACATTTTTGGTCAGGCTATAGTTGCACAGATGGTACCCTAGCAAAGAGAGGCCTTTTTCTAGGGAGAAAAAAAAAAAAAAAAAGGAAAGAAAGGAATCAGCAAATCAGCACTAACTTGTAACTCCAGAGGATAAGTTCCCTGCAGTATCTAGTTACAAATATTGTTATGAGAAAGCCAGAACCAACACAGGTGAATGATTTACAAGAAGGCTGATGTTAGGAAGAATGTCACCTCAGAAAATGGACAGAAGAAAGAATTAGTAGTGACTGCTTGTCACTCCGGTGATAAAACAATGCAGACTGGCAGAAAATTCAAAGAGCTCTCAGCGCCTTCATGTGCAAAGCAGAAAACCAGCAATTTAACTCAGGTAAGTATAAAGGAAATTAATACATGTTAATAGAAAATAACAGTAGAGCAGAATAGGCACTCCCAGAGCAGTGTCATCCAAGTACTTTAGATGTCCACTCCAGGCTCATGTTGCCAAAGTGTTCATCTTTCTCCACTAAATATAAAGGGAACAAAGGGAAAGGAACTCATGGGTAGATGAGTCACAGTAGATGTCTGGAATAAGACATCCTTCAGACATCACTCTAGGCTAAAACCGGGTACTCATACATCACTGAGAAGGACTTTCAGGTACCTAACACAAAAGGTATTCCTGGAGCTCCTATGTTGCTTATCTGCATTTGTAGCAAATTATAGTAGACCAGGCCCTTTGAGAGCTGCAGTCATTCACTGACTGCAGTATAAATGAAGTCAGTGGTAAATTCACTGACTACATAATTTCACACAGATCTGGGAATGTGACTGTTTATGGAGTTCTGAAATCAGTCATGATGAGGAGCGAACTTGTTACCTGCTTTACTTAAAATGTAAATACTTGAGCAGGAACAGGAGAAAAAAAAAAAAAAAACAAAAAAAAACACAAAACAAAAAAACCCCAACACAAACCCAAAGAACAGCAACAACAAAAACAGATGGAATTTAAGAATTAGCAGTAAGGAACTTACAATCATGTCACAGACATCAGGCTGTCTCCTAGTGAGATGTTACAGAAGCCAGAGGGGCTGAGTCACCCTGCGCCCCATTTGGGAAATAGGATAGAATTAAAATGCCTATATAATCCTTCAGGCAAAGCAAAATAAACTTTAATAAGGATAAATATGAATTAGCTTCGGAGATTCAAGTATCGCGGGATTGTTATTTCTGAGAGCTCTGAGGGGACCAAACCCAGCCAGCAGACAGACTGAAGCTGACATAGTATACACAACATTTTAAATATTTACAACTTATCTTATTTGTACAACTTATCTCCTGGCTGAAAAGATGAAACATGTAAAAACAATTCAAGAAAAAAAGAATTGTCAGATTTTTAGGAATCATGTATTTTTATCATGTTTAGCTTTCCAGCTAAATAAAAGATGTATGTGCAATTTGAACAGGACTGGTAAAAGAGCTTTGAACAGAACAATCCATTTGTAGTGCAAGGACAGTCCAGAAGAAAGCATGGGATAGATACCATGGACCACAATACATGCTTCAGGCTGGCTCAACCAAGTCACCCAGAAGGTATTCCTCCAGCCTTAATCTGAGCAGTGGCTCGAATAAGAACAGCCTGAAAGACATACCCTGCTTTAGATGTACAAAAGGCCATGAAGAAAAACTGATTTGCTTGGTGCAGTTCCCAGAGGCACAGACACCTCCCTGCAGACAAAGGCACTTTGGAAGAGCAGAAGGAAGGAGAAGGGTCTGGGTCTGATCACAAACCACCCCCAAAATAAATAACTTGCATCTGACCAGACCCAGGGAGAGCATCAGGCCCCTGGGAGTCCAGTCCTGCTCTGCCTAACCCATCTGTGCCTTCCTCCTGCAGCAAAAGGCAGAGTCTGATGCTGGGGCATGCTACAGAGAGCACATGTGAGAGCAAGAAACCTCCTAGTGGGCTGCAGGGACCCTCGTTCTGCTGCTTAGAGTACGTCAGTAGAAAAACATTGAGAATAATGGCATATCTGGAAAGCCCACTCCCTGTTTCTTCCTCCTTCCCAGGCTCAAGCAGGGCATCTCTGTGTAGGGTCCCTGAAGCTAGCTCCAGAGACAGCAGCTGAAAGGTCTTCATGCCTCTGAAAAGCACCAGGGCTGTTCTTAGTCCTTAAGAAGAGAGTGAAGGAAGATGGTTATGAGGGGTAGGAAGACTCTCAAGCTGAGGACCTGAATCCCATACCCTGCCTGACCAAGGAGAGAATCCCAAAAGCCAGCATGGAGGTTTGACCAGGACCATGAAAGCCCCTATCCAGCAGGAGGGAACTGAAGGTGAAGTGGGCTGGAGAAAGCAAGGTGCCCTCCGTCCCCTGGTTAACTTCAGGACATCCCTCTGGGAAAGGGGAAAAGAGAACAAATGGGGGTTCTGGAGCAGAAATCAGAGGTCAAGGACTGCTTTTTATCCCATGCATTTGATCGATTGCCACTTCACATCAGACACAAGTGTCTTACAAGAAACAGGTATCTATCATTACATTCTGTAAACTGTTCCCTTGCCATGTGATAAGAGTGCTCCAAGAATACCTGCCCCAGCAAATGCTTCTAGGCATGTAGGCCGGGG